CCCCCCCCAACATAAAAGCACTGCAATCATCCCTATGACCATGCGGTCGAGCAGCTCACTCTGACTACAACCTCTCAACATGGTCTCTGCTAAATCCCTCGTCACTCTTGTCTTCAGCGCCTCTCTAGCGACCGCCACTCTCTCCCCGGCGTCATCCAACACCAAGGGAAAATGCCCTGGTACACTGAATTGCGACCGTACGTAGGCTTGTCTTGCAAGCCAATTGTCATACTCACACAAGTAAATAGCTGCCAAGACATCCACTGCCATCCAGGCTGCTGAGTGCTCGCACAACACGAGAACTTCGGGTACACTACGTTCCTCCTTTCTACTTATCTTCTTACTTGAATCCATACTAAGGAGAACAACAGAGACACAAACATTTGCCGTCTTCGTCACTGACCACCAATACGATTCCTCTCACGGAGCCCCCTACGGAACATGCAAGGCCTACACCTGCACTGCACCCACCGAGGCAGAGATGACGGATTCTGATGAGGATTGCTGGACTTTCTTCTGGAAGTAAGCTGTCCCCTGCTATAGATACACGTGTGCTCGAGAAGGCAGCCTATGCTGACTGAATTGTTGTGCAGTGATAACGGAGAGTCATCCGGTGTCGGAACTGGATGCATCAAAAGCCCTGATGACGGCACCTGTGGTTGCGAGAACTCCGATGGAACCTTCGTCTATGGCGGAACGAACTGTTCCTAGAGGCACTAGAAATGGTACGGTGTGTGGTTTAGTAGAGAGCAAGAGCTGTGTATGTATTGGCTGAGTTCTTCACATGTCATCAACTAGGGTGTATATCCTTTTTCAATTGAGGATATGAAACGGATGCCAGTCATGCTTTTTCCCCTTCTCTATCTCTACTATCAGCTGGTCAAATTTGTCCTGTCTGAACGAAGGAGGGCTCAAAGTTCTAGTAACAAAACGCTCATCATCCCAATACCTCCATCGATCGTAATACGTTCCTAACATCTCCCTCAACTTCCCCCTTGGAAACATGTCATTTAGTATTTGACTGATGTACAGGCGACGAGGAATCCACGGGCTCGCCGCATTCAATAGGGCAAGTCCGTACACCGCCAACTGTGTTTTCGGATGGTGATATTTGAGCTTTTGCTGAAATACAAGGAGCATTTCAGCTATCTTTAACATTGCCCGCATGGCTGATTTGGCATTATCTGCTGCGTCATGCAAGATTACATTCGCATCCCATATCATCTGATCTATCGCTGGAAGTGTCTCAGACGGCTTTGACGAAAAAAAATCTGTGTTCGTCGAGGATTTCTTCCAGCTCCAGACCAGGTTAAGATTTCGCGCAGGCCGTTTCTGCATGGGTGGTTTGTACTCAGGGGGAAAGGTCTTCGATCCTATACAGGTAGCTCTCAATAGAATTATATCAAAATGATACTGGCAATGTCTGATAATGATCGGCTCGCGTGCTCCCTGTAATTGACAAACAATGTCACCTTTTCGGACGTCTTTGGCCGAATCTCGGACAGTCCATAGGGTATCCCGGCCTTCTCGTTGCCACCTCTCTATCCAAAAGCCGTCTCCAGTGAAATAAATTGATAGGGTGTGGCGATTACGTACACTGCTTTGAACTTCATGTACTCGACCCAGAACCCATCCCTTAGCCTGGATCACAGCGGTGTCTTTATCTTGCCCAATCCTGACAGACACGTGTGCACTCAGGACATGCTTGATTAGCCGTTCGAAGAGTGCCTCCCACGGAAGTTCATAGTTTGGTAATAGATCTTTTGCACCCGAGCCATCCGAGCTCACTCCAAGGAGGGCATATATCTTATCATGACGAAGAGTAGCGTCGTGGGTATGATATACATCTATGAGTTCACCCAAGGAGAGTTCTTTCCGCATATCTGTCCCATCTTGACGTCGAAAGAGTGCTTCTCCGATATTATGGCTCATAGCGCGCACGGCGGGATTTTTATCCCCTCTTAAGGCAAAGCCGAATGCATGCCCGTTTATTTCGGCAGAACCACACAAAACCCGAATGTCTCGGGCTAGGCCAACTTCTTGAACCACCTATATCAACCATTAGCTATGTATTGCTGTAGAGCATTCCTGGTAGGTTTGACTGACCCAAATACGCCGAAACCACGGTCTCTCACACAGCTTACTGATCTCTGCGTCGTGTATGCCTACATTTGCATACTCAGATACTCCATATGAGTCTGCAGCCTTCACACGAATGCCCTCCATAGCTTTGCCACTGTTGTCAGCCTCGTCACCAAGCCAGACCACCACTTGATTCGCTCTAGCATATATCTTTCCCATCACCTGGATCTGTCGCTCCTTTTCTTTATCGTCGGCTTGGTTGATACAAATGGCATCAACCCATAGTATCCGCTCGAAGGCAGGATCACGAAGTCGTCGAAGCGCCGAATGGAGATTCTGGTTCACCTTGAACTCCCCATCCTCTATATAGATGACCTGTGGCCTGGCTGGGTCACCCCACACGTAAGATAAGGCGTCGTACAGGTGAACTCCATTTCTATTCTTCTGGAGAGAATAGTTGAGGAGCTGACATTTTATCGGGGCAGTGTTGTCTTCGTTCGGCAACAAGCGAAGCAGGCGGGTCCTGTCATCCCCCAGAGGGAGATCTGAGTATCTGAACTGTGGCATTTTGAATCCGATAATTCGATACTTTTCAGAATCAAAAAACATGGGGACTGAGCAACCACTTTATCTTCTCAGCAGTATCTTCGGGCCACGGTGTAGACCCCGCATCGCTTTCTTTGGACCTCCATGCAGGACCACGTCAGCATGCTAGACAACTTGAAGAATGATCGTCGCAAAGCCCGCTGGGACTTTACGGAATTCCACTACGATAGGAGAGTTATATTATTTGTTGTGGTTTTGACAATAGAATAGATGTTTTCTAAGCACAGTTAGTACGTTTATTATAAAGCAGCAGGATATACGGTATCACTCCAGCCCACCCGGCCCCAACCGTGCCCCATCTAGTAGTCTACAGTGTACAAATGTGGTTGACTCGACCCATATCGGTTTATTGTAGACTCGCTCGACTGGACCTTCGCAGAATCACTTCCAATATCTGGGAAGTATAAATCACTAAGGACTTTGAAATTCGTAGAAGGCATACCCCAACCGGGAATGTTTATGCCGCACGTCAAAGCGGCTGGTGGAGTACCTCATCTTACGCTGTTCAAAAATATGGATGATATAAGGTACGTCCAGGCAGGAGTAGAGCATGGTCCAAGTGACCGTCATCTCCAGGCTACCTCTGATGCTTCCCGTAGGGTAGCGGTATTAGGGCTAGTTCTGCTCTCCGTGGCCCGCTACTGCAACGACCCCAGAGCCTCGCATCTGTCGTGACCTGGCACTCACAGCTTTCGAATTTGTTGAATATAATTAGTGATGATTTAAACTCTGTCTTACGTTCTATACTTTTCCCATCACTTGGCATCTTGCATTTTTAGGTTCGTCCCGCTGGCAGGGGCCTCCTCGGTATATTTCTACGTTACGGTGTACTTGAACTGCAATGCGGTAGGTCTAGTACAAGCTGCTGTTCAAAGAACGAGAACGATGCCAAAAAAAACACTTCTTCGCGTGTCATGTGTGCGACAAGCGAAGCAAGTATCGATCCCGTTACGTAAATTCCCCAAAGGCCCTCTCGTCCAGTGCACCGAGGTTTCGCAGGTCACGAAGAACAACGATGGAAGAATCCCCCCTTCTACATAACCCGGAAGGACATTCTCAGATTCGATGTACCCCAAACTCTGACTCGAAAGATAGACAGCCGTCTCTTGCTCATCACCGCTGTTGCAGTATCTGGGTCGATTGTAATGCAATTCCGAACGTCCCTAAGTAAGAGTACCTGAGATCTGAAGCCAGCGGGAGCAAGTCAAATCCTGCCGAACTGAGTCCTGGAATCGAATGGTGACTATCGGCCACCCCTATCTCACTATCATATTGTTTTCTTTCCAATAAAAGAGGGACGATGTGTAATGTAGTGGAGAATACGATCTTGGCAGGATAAAAATAGTGGAACGTAGATTAAGCTAATGGGAGCATGACGAGTTCTGGTGCCGATCAGCCGTTTCAACTCGGTCTCTGGATTTTCGGGTTCTCATTTCCAGCATGTCCATATTGATGTTTCGATATCAAGAATAAATGAAGAGATTCTAGAAGGAAAATTAGTGATCAGCCAATCAGGGGAATCATGTACCTGGCTGCTGGAATGGGAAGGGTTTGCATGGTTTGTCCACGTATCTGGTCACGTGTGATAAGGCGCACCGCAAACGGCCCGGGCCACGTGACGGGGCGATTGCCCCTTGCCCTTTGCGGCCAACCCAGCCTTTGGCTAATTTCACCAGGAATTTCTTGTCCTGCGCTGCTTCTCCTGTCCTTCTTCTTCATGGGGTCTTCTCGTTGCTAATATTTTCTCTGATTTCCATTCCTTCGTTTATATCCCCAATCTTCGTCGTTGCTACGATCATTCGGCGCCGCCATAGTAATCCACTTGCAATTTGCTGTCGTGGCTTTTAGCATCAACGGATCGTCGTCGATCATACCGTCCTGAATTCATCTACTTCGCGACTTACCCCTTGCCCTTTGATGGGCTGTCGCCTGTGAACGTCTCTCAATTTCTACTCGGTTTTAGAACATATACAACCGCATTATCACCATGAAGGTGCAACGCCTCTCATCGCCATTTCTCCTCTTTCTCCTCCCCGCCATCGCGACGGCCTTGACAGACTTGGCTCCGAATCCGGCGAGTGCGCTCAATCCTACCGTTGCAGAGCGCGATGCTACCGTCCCCAATGCCGTCGTAGACGAACTTGCTGCCCCCAAGGTCTCCCCCAAAGGGACGCTGGACGCCCCGGTTGACGGCAAAGATGGCCGGCCACATGCTGGTCCTTGGGTTGAGACCAACGCGGAACGGGATCGCAAGAAAACCGGCACTGCGAAGACGGAGGAGCAGGCGGACACTAAGTCCACGGAGCACTTGGGCCCTGACGGCAAGCCAATTCCTTACTCGAACGATGGGGTCATGGATGATCCACACCGGACGGGTCCGAAGGAGGGCACACGTGGAACAGAGGGCGGAGTGTCAGAGAAGCAGAAGGGCAGCACAAATCCAGGCGAGAAAGTGCCAGATAGCCCGAAGGAAGCCCCTCCCTTGCCTCATAGTGAACAGCAGAAAGCCCCTGCGTCTGAGGAGAAGGAGGGCAAAACCTCGGATTCCAAAATAGGCGTCGTCGAGGTAAAATTCAATTTCTATGTTTGTTATGCGTCCAATGACTGACTCAATTTGCAGAAACCCGCCGACCTGCCTGAGAAACCACACGACATCCCTCTTCCCAAATCGCCGCCTTCCGTGAACGATGACCCCCTCGGTCTCAATACTCCGAAGGGCTCTTCTGGCAAGATTCCCGGTACACCCGAAGAGCCAGTGGATGTGTTGCACTCGCTCATTGCCTCGTTTACTATGATCGTGGTCTCCGAAATTGGCGACAAGACATTCTTGGTCGCTGCCTTAATGGCGATGCGGCACCCCCGTCTCCTCGTATTCTCTGCCGCCTTCGCCGCGCTTTTTGTCATGACCGTGCTCTCAGCTATTCTCGGACACGCTGTTCCGACACTGATCCCCAAGTCCATGACCAAGTTGCTGGCTGCCATCCTGTTCTTCGTGTTTGGGCTGAAGATGCTGAAGGAAGGCCGAGAGATGTCGCCCGACGAAGGTGTTGGCGAGGAGATGAAGGAGGTCGAGATGGAACTCGAGGAAAAGGAACAGGAGCAACTGCGTATGAATCGGCGTCGCTCGTCCGTGACCCCTCACTCTCTGGAATCAGGCCGTGCTGGTCGCGGCAAGTCTCGCTCGGCGGGCAACCGTCTGCCTTCGCCGCCGGAGAGCCTTTCCTCTTCTTCGTCCCGCGGATCGTCCCCCTCGCGCGGCCGGCGCCTGGATGACATGCTCTCTGGCATGAACAATCTTTTCTCCCTGCTTCTCAGCCCCGCATGGGTCCAGACGTTCGTCATGACCTTCCTTGGCGAATGGGGTGACCGCAGTCAGATTGCGACCATTGCGATGGCCGCGGGACAAGATTACTGGTGGGTGACCGTCGGTGCGATCTCCGGGCACGGCCTCTGCACCGCCGCGGCCGTGATTGGAGGAAGTGCCATTGCGGGTCGCGTTAGCATGCGAGTCGGTAAGTGTTTCAGCGATTCCTCTATATCTGTGAAAATCCGCTAACTTGGTCGCAGTGACTCTCGGCGGTGCTGCGGCTTTCCTGGTCTTCGGCGCTATCTACTTGATAGAGGCCCTTTTTTAGACCGTTTATTTTGCTCTTGCTTAATGTGTTGGGATTTTCTCATGTAACATATACACTTATGGTCCTGAAGCGCAACGTGCTGGTGGGCGCTCGACATTTACTACGTTTTAATGAAAAAGCATATTCCATGAGCTAATGAGATTGATGTTTGACTCCTGCATTCTAATCGACTCGTGCATATATTATACTTCCTATATACGTCTGTTATATACACCATATTCATTCTCAATCCAATGTCCTCTCAGAAAGCACTTTTATCATCCAGACAGTCTAATACACATACCGAAACCATCGGTTCTCCTTATCAGTCAGACCAGCCCACTTCGTCTCATCGATAACCTCTTCATCGCCTTCACCCACAGTCTTCTCACGCCTTCGATTCTCCCATGTGTAATACAAAAACAACACAAACGCCAACGTACCCGCCGCCGCCTGCGTCGCCAGCACAGCGATCTTTGCCGGGCGATACTCTGGCGCATCCCTCGCTTGGAACGTCTGCGGGCCGATAATATTACCCACGGAGAACGACCCAGCCACGAGCGCACTGGCGAATGCGCGCTTCGTGTGTCCGGCACAGTTGGCCATCGTCCACTGGTAGAGAATGGGCAGCGTCGCGACGATCGCATTGACCAAGTAAATGCCAATCAAGACGCCGGCCTTGTTATGCTTCGGCAAGAACGACATAAGCGCGCCGCCGATGATGCCGGGAATAGTGCAGAAGACGAACCAAGCCCAACGGTGGGAAACCCTGCGGATACCGATCCCCACGGCCAACGTAAAGAAGATGCTGACAATGCCCGACGGTGTGTTCAGCAGTGCCGAGTGCGGTGGCGAAAACCCGAAGCCGTTGATTAGGGTTGCCGAGTATGTCGTGACCACGCCGGACGATACAGACGTCTGTCGTATATCTTGTCAGCACTCCCTTTCTTCTCTTCTGCTAGACAGTGAATAGCAGACTTACACAGATGGTAGTCAACGTTAACAACCACAGCTGTACATCCCCAACCGCCTCCCAGATCTGCCTCATATCGACCCGGCTACTCCAGACCCCCGTCTGGTTCACGCTGACATGTCGCAACAACGCGACCTTCTCGCCCTCGCTCAACCACCGCGCCTTCATCGGCGTATCGGGAATAAAAAGCATCGTCAGCACGCCGACCAACATCGTAACCAGTCCCAAGACAATAAACATAATCCGCCACCCGGCAAACGAGTGATGCACCTGCTGAAACGCAAACGAGATAATGCCGCCGAGTATCTGCGCCACGCCGAGTCCGAGGTACCAGAAGGTGAATCGCGGGGCCTGTTCGCTGCGCGTGTAGAATTGGCTGCTGAGAAGCATGAGCGAGGGTCCGATAGTCGCTTCGAAGATGCCAAGGAAGATTCGCGCCACGAGCAGGCTCCGGTAATCATGGGCGCCGGCAGAGGCAGCTGCCGCGACACCCCAGAGCGTCACATTCAGGCCGAGCCATTTTGCGGCGGGGGCTTTCTGGAGGAGGTACACTTTTCTCAGGTTATATCAGTCCCCGTATTCACTTCAATCAACCAAGACTCTGGCAGTAGGGAGGGGGGAATGTCGTAGTTGTATATACCATTCGGAACCTCCGCGATCAAATACGCGATGAAGAACCACGTCGCCGTATTCGAGAAGTCATTGCCTACGAGCCCGAGGTCTTTCTTTATCCCCATAACTGCCGCATACTACTCTTGAACCCGCATTTAGTTCTCGACATGATTCCTAGGGGGCATTGCGGGACAAACACACGTTAAGCATCACTTTGTCCAAAAACTGCAGCACATAGCAGCAGAACATGAACGGTATAATGCGGTAATCGATCTTGCGACGCAATGCGCTTAAGTCTACATCCTGGGTGTCGGCGACGCCGGCATGCCCCTCCAGGTACTCGACCGCATCATCGACTCGGTTCGCAGGGATAGCATGCGCCACGGCGTCGGAATGTGTCTTCTCCTCCCCCATGTAGGTCTTGGGGTTAATACCCAAGTAAACGCAAAAAAAAAAAAAAAAAAAAAAAAAAAAAAAAAAAAAAAAAAAAAGTGTTCAGAAAACAAAAAGGAGCGAAGCAAACAAAATTCTCAAAGGGAGAAGAAATGCCGCAGGCAGGACGAAAAGAAGAAAAAGAAAGCAAGAAATGCTGCCAGTGTCAGCGCAGAAAAACCTCCGACAGCTGCAGTCAGAACTAACCCTAGCAAACTCTATTAGGCTCGAAGTATAATTAATTATTGAAGTAACCTCCGCCGACGCCAATCGATTGCGCGACCTGCCCGGCGATGCTTTAGTCCTTGCTGTTTGCGTTTGCCCTAACTGGACCACCGCTTTAGTGTGCATCGACTGAGAGTTGCGGTGGAGCAGGGTTGCTGGACAAGCTAGGCCACGGGGATCATAAGATTTACTTTAATTGAGATTTAAATCCTTGTGGATCAGATGCAACGTAAATTTGATTATCGTGCGCGGTTTTCCATCGAACGTGTATTCCTTGCGGAGGACACCTACACGAGGTTACGCCATGCTGCTCGGTGGAATGTCTCATCCTTGTCTTAGAATGATGTCTAGCCCTTTTCAGAATAAGCAAACAAGATTGACGGCCAGACGGTGGAATAGGCGGCGCAAGGGGGTGTATGCATGGGTGTCATGAGCCAGAGCTCGCATATTAGGCAGTCGTGCGTTAACATCGCAGCTCTGATGTCTGCGCCTTTTTTGATGCCTCGTCTGCGTCCTTCATCGATATACCTATGCTGGCCTAAACGATGGGCTGGGTCCACCATGCCGCTCCAGAGGTCGAAGACCAGTCCCGGTATCGTCAGATTCTAGGTGTCTGTCTCAGCTTAACTGTTCTGATGGTCATTACCGTCAGCCTGCGGCTGGGTCTCCGGGCGCACGCTCGTCGACTGGGCGCTGCGGACTATGTGATGGTGGTGAGTATGGTGAGTAGCATTCTTCATAGCAAACCGATACTTGGGCAGAGGCGATCCTAACCTGACCCAGCTGTTCAGCGTCATCTACAGCGCCCTATGTATCTCTCGTAAGTCTCTCAACAAAATGTATCAGAGGAGCGCTCACATCCTCAGAAAGCAGATACGGGCTGGGACTACCACTCCACCTGCGCCCGAAAGAAAACCTCCCAATCTACAAAAAGGTACATTGCTGTAACCATTTTACATTGACCTCTATGAAATCCTCAAGCTAATCATGTACAGCTTAATTATGCCGGCCGACCCTTCTACCAGATCGGCATCGCCGGCTTCAAAGCCTCGCTCTGCCTCAGCTACCTACGCCTCCTCACCAAAACATCACTATCCATCTACCGAATCCTCATCTGGACGGTGCTCATTATCTCGACAGCGGGCCACATTGCTGGCGCATTGGCCCTACTCTTCAACTGTCATCCTGTATGGCCCTCATGTCTCATTCAATGAACTACTACTGACATAAGAACAACAGGTCCAACTAGCCTGGCGAACAGACATCACAGGCACCTGCCTCCCGGTCGGAGGCACATTCTACGGCCTAGCCATCTTCACTATCATCTGCGACCTCATGATCATCTTCCTACCGATCCCGCTCCTGCTCCGCCTGAAGATCAAGCCCGCCCAGAAAGCCGGCGTCGTGTGCCTGTTCCTCCTCGGACTGTTCACGACCATCTGCTCCATCATGCGACTAACCCAAATTCACCGCGTGGCCTACGGGGACGGAAACTCCACTGCACTGGTGCTTTGGGGGACGATCGAGTTTAACGTGGGTGTAAGTACTCAATTTACTACTACGTACAAGAATCCGCACAAGAATCCGCCACCGAACGGAATAAAAACAAAGAAAAAAGAAGGTTATCACATGAAACCAATTTAACCTCTTTCTAGAACATCATCACCTGCATTCCCTACTTAGCACCGTTGCTAAAGGGGCTGGTGCACGATTTCCGATCGAATAGCAAAGCGTACGAGAGTCAGGGCCATTATGTTTTGGAATCGTGGAAGGATCCGCGATCGCAGTTACGATCGACTGCGTCCGCGCCGAGGCGAACGCCCAGCGAGGAGCTAATCATGGATAGCGTGGCGCCTGGGCATGGGGGGATCGAGATGACGGTGGAGGTGCGGGTGTCGCTGGAGCGCAAGTTGTCGAGGGGAGTTTAATCATGCATAACAGGGTTGATTAAGACGGTTCATTTGTCAGAGTATCGTAGCATGAGTCTTTTATTTGCTCGGCAGACGGCCAGCGTAAGCACTAATATCGCGTTGAAGCAAGGGGGGTATGGTTAAGATTCCGAGGATATCCGCAAATACGACCTCGTCCGACGGAGCATCCGTTCACTAGGCAGGGGTCGGGCATCCTCAAGGAAGGCAACTGATAATCAGGGCTCGTGCTATATGCACTCAACACCAGGTAATCTGCCGGGTTTATCCCGAACGGGTCAAGATGAGAGGTCAAGCATATCGGCGTGCCGTCCGCCTCGAGATTAATCTGTTTAGCTGCTTCACCGTGTCTCAATCAAGTGGGGACGCTGTCAATATAATCCTTGGCCGCAGCAAATGGGCTCAGAGACATGAATGCGCCGGCTCAACCTTAATAAACCATCGTTATATCGCGCTCCAATATACTATGGCAGGGATTTTGCCGCTTCGGGCCACATATTAGATATTACCCAGGTCCACCTTTCATGTACGCATCGCACCATTCGGTGAGTCTAGATTATCTCCCATCCCCAACGGATCCAGATATCCCCTCCCCTCTCTCCCGGCCAGGAACAGACCAGGATCGGCGGGACATCCCACTTTGCTTTCGAGCGTCAACTATGGCCAACGAACCCCTCCCCGTGCTCATTGTCGGCGCCGGCATCAGCGGCCTCATCCTAGCCCAGTATCTCAAAACCCAGGGCGTCCCGTTCCAGATCTTCGAGCGCGACTCGGCGGTCGACGCCCGCAGCGGCGGATGGGGTCTCACCCTGCACTGGGCATTGCCGGCATTGCGACAGTTGCTCCCCGAGGACATCGTCGCGCAACTGCCAGAGACATATGTTAACAAGGAAGCTGCTGCGCGGGGTGATACCGGCCGCTACCAGTTCTTCGATCTGAAGTCAGGGGAGGCACTTTATAATGTTCCAGCTGCGGAACGGATTAGGGTTAGTCGGGTGCGAATGCGTCAGCTATTGACGAGTGGGATTGACGTGCAGGTGAGGTTCACGGAAATAAAAAACACGATTCCACGATTCCACGATTCTACCAAACAAACCCAACTAATATCCAACCAACAGTGGAACAAATCCCTCAAAGACATCGAATCAACTCCAGAGTCCGTGACAGCCCATTTCGAAGACGGCTCATCATGGCAAGGCCGCATCCTCCTCAGCTGCGACGGTTCGCGCTCGCTCTCGCGCCAAATCCTCTATCCAGACGACCACGAAATGCAGCCCCTGCCCGTGCAGCTCCTCGGCGCGACAGCTCTATACTCACCTGAGGAAATGAACGGCGCCCAGAAAATCGACCCCTTCATTTTCCAAGGCGCACACCCAGATACTAACGTGTATCTCTTCTTTAGCTGTACCACACCATCATCATCCACATCATATACATTTATGCAGAAACTAACGGGAAATAGTCCTCGATACCCCCAATAACTTCTCCGACAGCACAGACAAGTACCACTGCCAGCTCATCGTCTCCTGGGCCGAGTCAAAGGGCATCGACGTACCAGAGTCCAATGCAGACCGCATCGCCCTGATGAAATCGCTAACGGCCAACTGGGCTGATCCGTTCCGGTCCCTGATTCACCAGATCCCGGATGCAACGGAGGTGGTGTCCATCCGTGTCGCGGACTGGATTTTCACTCCGCAGAGGCAAAGGGACCATCCCCGTGTGGTTCTGGTGGGCGATTCGGCGCATACTATGACTATGTGTTTGTTTTTCTTTCTTTCTTTCTTTCTTTCTTTCTTATTGGTTGTTTGTATTTTACTGGAATATATACTAACAGAAGGGTCACAGTCAGAGGTGAAGGTGCCAACAACGCCATCGTGGATGTACAGGATCTGGTGAAGAGGATTGATTTTACGTCGACAGAGTATGATACCATTCTCAGTGTGGTTTTGTTCATGGCCGACGTGAGATGCTAATAAAGACGTGTAGATCGTTCACACCAGATGCCCTTCGTTCTTCCGTCGCCGCATATGAACAGGATATCTTTGTCCGTGCGGAAACATCCGTCTTGAATTCGAGACAGGCGTGTCTCGATGCGCATGATTTCGAGAAGATTCTTAAGGGGAGTCCGCTAGTATCTAAGAGGGTGCTTAAAGAGGATAAGTAGTACGAGTGTTTGGGAGTTGGAATTGGATAGGGATCTACCCCGGTGAGCTGGGCATTAGGTATAGCGCGGTGTATGAAAGAACAGTGTGATGAGTTTTTATGATAGACGAGACTTAGATCGAAGACAGCAATTAGCATGAACATGGAATGTTTTGTAGGATACAGCAAATAGCATGTAGTAGCGATGTCTGCGCACACATTTGTATCGGATAACTACCGCTCGACCACAACGTGAACAAGCTGTTTGGACTCACTGTAAATGTCATATAAAACCATGTTTCTGTAGTTAATACCTGTATTGCTCGAGGAACTACGTCGACGTTTGAAAGACGCACGATAAGGTTGCGAGTACAATTCTGGTTTGGAACTCTGACCATTCGTTGTGCATCTCCAGGTGATAGTTCCGGGATGACATCGAAGGACCTGCTAGCATCCCCTGAGTTTCTGATAGTTTTGAGTATTCCCTCTCGAAAAAGTTTCTCAGGGGAACTGCATGTGCTCTCAATCTGGGAAATGGAAGGAATAATTGCAATTTTATACCGCCATTTGGACTCGGGCAGCAACCGGTGGTGTGAAATGCCATGGCACGAAATGCACGGCTTTAGGGTCAAGGTCCAACATTAGATTTAACATTAGGTCCGACATTAGGGTCACGATTAGGGTCAAGGGTTATTCAGGCATACAGGCACCAGTCAGGCAGCAATTGTGCCAAATCAGGCAATCATAGCGGATTACATAAGACGACCCTAAACCTCAAGCGCGCCACTTCGTTTTCTTCCCTGCGCTCTTTGTTTTCTTCCCCATTTCCATCCACAGCAAGCTCACTATCCACAGCCATCGATCCCCGTCGACTTGGGCACCATTTTCGTCCTATTTGGACCTGTTTTGGCCCAATATCACGCCGTATACTCGTTGAGAGTGAGCTGGGGTGTAGTCCGCCCGCTGACCGCCTTTGGATATGGCTCGCATTGCTGCGCGCGTTGCCGGGCAGGATATCCATGCGTTGAAGGGGAGTCCGCCAAGGAGACGGTGGACGAGGAGTCAGAGTCGGGAGCTGGAGGCTCATCCGATAGACGATGTGCCTGCTGGGAAGTCTTCTCTCAAGAGTAGCAGGCTATGGAAGGGTAAAGCGAAAATGAGCGGTCACGGTCAGTACTGTTTGTTTGATTCACTGTAAACGAAAAAAGTCAAGTCCCCTTGTGTTTGTCAATTGAGATTGCTGTATCCGTGTGTTTGTTATTCTCTATCTTGCTGTCACTGGAGGATATCTGAAGTGCACTTTCTACGCTCCCATTGAATGCGAACTTACATCTCCAATGACAGACTTGAGTGTCGTCGCAGAAGAATCACCGGTCAAGCCAGCCACGAAGTCAGGACTTCGTGCTCGCCATGTGATCCCTGAATCGCCTGAGGATGTGCATAACAACACGATGTCGGGCTCCACCATCATCGTCCCTGACGCAGAAACAGATCAAGAGGATGAGGATGACCAGGACGATAACGATCTGGACCCAGAGTTGATGCTCGAATCTCTTCCTGGCTTGGAACGATCTGCAAAGGATGTTCTCGACTTTCTGGTCCCCAGCTCCGCGGATCTCAAAAGTATCGTCAACATGGCCAAACGACTCTCAGATCCCAGGAACACCCAAAGCAAACGTCTGACCCTGCGTAAGGCCGCCTTGAAGAACCAGCCCGGATGGTTCGAGGGTAAGACGTACATCGACGTCACGCGAGCTAACGAGTCCCTTTCCTCCCACTTGACGAAGGATGGGGTCGAGTTGAACTGGAGTGCGGAGCCTATCCTCCACCGCGCTAACTGTGCCCGTTTTTCACTCGAGGTGCTCCTGGCTAGCGGCAATTCGAACGCCTTCAAAAAGGCCATACGGGACGTAGAAAGTCTGTTTCCGTTGCCTTTCATGCGTGATCTGGTCACTTGTCGGGGGGATGCCGTTGGGGAAAGCGCGCTTGTTAAAGACACGTTCCAGCTCGCCTTGGAGATCCGCACTCAGTTCTTGATCATGCAGTTAGAGAACCATCAGCATGAGCACGCCTTCGATCCAAACTTCATCTTGGAAGACGGATTCTTCCTCGATGTGTCTGCCGACGAAGCGTTTGACAGCAGCGATGCTCTAATGCGTGGGTTCAACTTGCCAAGGCTTAATGTTGAAGGGTCTCTTCCCGACGAATTCAGAGAGGCAGCATACGATCGCTTCGAAGAAATGGTCGCCAACCTGCCCGATGAAGATGACATCTTTGATATTGACGACCTAAAAACCACCTATCCCTGGCGGAGCTTCCTTCTGCGAGCGGCTCGCTGGATCCGCAAACGGTGTGAGGAAATTGACGAAGACTTAAACCGCCAGCAGAGTGCAGAAGCTGCGCGGGAGGAATTTTTCGCGGAAATTGACGCAAAGGACCGTCGAAGTAGCAGCGTGGCGGATCGCTCTAGTTTGGCTCTCCGGCGTACAGAAGAACGGAGCACGATCGCTTCTCCCGACAATCGAAGAGATTCAGTGATCCCACCCACAACTCCCAAAGACACGCCGAGGACCGCTGAATCCAAGGAGCGGAGGAAATCTGGCAAACCGTGAGTTAAGAGTTTTTTTCAGCTCGGCAGCTGGCTAACTTGGTCAGGGCATTCTTGAACAAATCGTCTCTTGAACGCATAGCACAAAGAAGGCTAAACCCTCTGGCGTCTGTCAAGAACTCTGACGTGCGCAGACAATCGGATGGCGCCGCGAGACCAGCTCCAGCAAATGGCCAGAAGGAATCTGCATCCCAGCTTCGGCGTCAGACCCTACCAGCATCCCGGCTATCGAGACGGACACCATCGGAAGAGGCTACCGAAGAACATTTCGAAGAGTCTGTTGAAGAGCTAGCTGAGGAGCCTACCGAAGAACCTGTCGAACAGCCTACTGAAGAACCTGTTCAGGAGCCCACTGAAGAGCCTATCGAGGAACCCAGCGAACAGCCTGTCGGGGAGCATACTGAAGAACCTATCGACGAGCCCAATGAAGAAACTATCGAAGAGCCCACCGAACAGCTTGTCGAAGAACCCACTTTCCATGAATCCCCGTCACTCGTTCAGCACGACGAACAGGACTTCAACGTAGACAGCGAGTCCGAACTCTTCGTCGGCGAACGCACACAGTTAGAAAAGTCCCACAGTCCCGTGATGAGAAGGACTTCACGCGAGCCCCGGTATGCCAGTCTGGGCCCAGTCAGGACTAAACTCTTCGCACCCGAGTTACGGCTCGAGCCGACCTCTACGCAGACGTCGCGCCCTATGCTCTCCAGTCTTGAACTGTGGAAAGCAGCCAACGGCGACGGACCATCATCACAACCCAGCAAAAAGCCCGAACAGGCCTCCCGGTTCATCGACCGGCAAGCAAACGCGCACCGCGTGTCCCCTATCAGCCAAGCCGACCCACAAAGCGCCGAACGGCCCCACCCCCCCGAAGTACAGTCCAGGAAACGGCGACGCCAGGAATCAGAGGAGGATGACGAGAGCGACGGCGAGTTCAGCAACTACAGTCGGCCCGTCGACACCGTCCGCAAGCGCGCAGAAAAGCCCGTGCGGCCTCAGAACAAACGCCAGCGAATCGAAGAACAGGACGAGTCTGCAGCCCAGCTGCTGAACGGTCTGGAAGAGACCGCGCGCAGAAGCACCGTTCCTGAATCCCCCGAGGCAGCGGCTCGGAGCACCAATCCCGTCCCTGTGTCGTCAAGCGCGAGACACACGGTCGCGTCGACCAAGGCGCCGGTACGATGGACGGCGGCCGAGGACAAGCGACTGATTCGGTTAATCGAAGAGGTCGGGCTGGGCGGGCCCAAGGGCAGTGGGTGGTGCAAAATCGCCAGTCAAAACGAGGCGCAGCCCGTTCGGGAGGGGGAGAGCCGCATTGAAGGGCGAAACCAGGTTCAGCTCAAGGACCGTGCGAGAAACATCAAAATCAGATATTTTAAGTATGTCTCTCCTGTTGTATCCATATCCGGGCAATAGAACTAACAGGAATAGGGACCGAAAAACTTTGCCCTCAAACTTCGAGCATGTGACCATGAAAGAGAAAGACCGGGCCATGCTTGCGGCCAAGGGCATCAACGTGCCTCAGTAGCTCCTTTTCGCATCTTTTCTCTGCTTGCGCTTAGTCTGTCTTCCTTCGGCTTGTCATATGTTCTCCAGAATGATACCCTTGATGCGAGTCGCGTTCTTCGAGTCTTGGTTCACGACCTTATGGATTATTGATTTATTTCATTAATATAGCCATTCCAATCAAGTATTTCTTATTTGGTATATCGTTCAACAATATTATGATTAAGCGAGTGGATCGGGTATCATGCACAAACCCGCAGTAAGAGTCAACAAATCGGCCAGCGATATCACAAGAGCCCAAGATACACAATCCAAGATATAAACAAACCCCCCCTCTACAAGACTATACACAATCCCAAACGTAACACCCCTAAAACAACCCCCTCACCACCAACCCAGCCACAATCCCACCCAACACCATCTCCCTCCCAACCCCCCTCCCAGCAGCAGCAGCACCAGTAGCCACACTCGCAGACGGCGAAGCCACCCCACTAGTACTCGCCGACGACGACGACGACGAAGCCGACGCAGAAGCCGTGGGAGCCACCGTAGCAGCCGAAGTAGCCATGGTCGAAGACGGCTGAGCTGACGCGGTCAGGATACTCTTGGGGGTATCCGTGCCGGTGGGGGCGTTGCTGGCCGTGCGGACCATGGTCGGGTTTACGCTGAGACTGGCCAGGGGGTCAGCGTCACCTTCGTCGACGTCGGGTGCGGTCAGGATGCCGTTGGCTTCTGTTTCGGAGCGCGTTTCGGCGTCGGTTACGGGGGCTGTGTAGATGGCGCGTTGAGTTTGGCGTTTGCTGGTGCCGATGGTGTAGGTTGCTTGGCCACCGCCTGTAGCGTTCTTGTTAGTTATCTGTCTTATATGTATATATGTATGTATAGAGTGGGTTATGGGTGTCATACAATTCTCAGCCGGATACCCAGGACACCTCGTCATACATTCCGTATTCTCAACCTTGGCTTCTAGCGGAGGAAGCGTATACCCACAGAAACACTTCTTGTCCTGGACCGCATAGACAGGCTTGTTCTCTGCATTGCAGAATTGCTGGCACAGCGCCACGGACTGGTATTCCGTCGTCGTGTGCGAGGGCGTGAGACTGCCCAGGGAATTGTAGCAGGCTGTGTTCAGTGCGATGGCGGGCGTTGACAGAGCCAGGAAGCCGAGGATGAATGTTCTTGTTCTTGTCATTTTGGATCTTGTTTTCTTTCTTGATTCTTTGGTTTGTGTGTTTTTTGTTTTAGTGAGGGATAGACGAAATGAATGAATGTCTGTCTGTCTATATATGGTGGCTCGGCACCGGGCAGATTTAGTTTATGTTATAAAAAGAACGAACGATCGAAGCCGAAACAGACAAAGAAACAGAAAGGTTAAAGATAGTTTAAATAAGCCTGTTATCGAAGAGCGAACAACGAACAAACAAGAAGAAAAAAAACACAGACAAGTCAACGGGGCAAATGGCAAGTATAAAAAGATCTGCTCCCTTCATGCACTCCACCAGGAAAACACAAAAAAAAAAAAAAAAGGTAAAACGCAGTTTCCAACCCCCTTGAGAAAGACAAACCCTCGGGCAAAAAAAACCCGGACACAAAAATCAGAAATGAAACGGCAACAGAATGCCGATCGGGTAGATCACCAGCAGAAACCGTATACACCCAAACTAAACTCAAGGTATTTTTCTCTCCCTGCGACGGAAGTCAAGACTGAGGAACTCCCGTTCGCTCGTCGATCGACATACTGAAACCCCCGCTGGGCAGGGCGTTTCAACCAATCCCTTACTCCCGTTTCAGGGACGGTTCATGTCGCTTAGCGGTGGTCGGGCAATTTAGCGTAGGGCCAACGAACATACGCAGAGTTCCCACTCCCTTGGGCCCTCGGTGATGTCACGGATCGACGCACTATTGCTTTCTGAGACTGGCCACGCGAGACACTATCGATTATTGTGTTTTTGTCCCGGGGAGAATGCCGTCATGGCTGTGGATTGGTCTCTTCTCTGGGTAGCCATTAGGCCAGTAAAATCACGTAGAGGGAGAAGCGACTCCATCTGTCAGTGGACGTTGTTCCCACTATCCAGAGGGAAAAAAAATACAGTAAAATAAACTAAAACAAAATGCGTGGTAGCGAGCGAGTCAAGTTGGAAAAGTAAAGTGAAGTCAGTTGTTCAGATGCTCGGGATCGGTCGGCACCTGACCACCGCAACCCTTGTCCTACGGAATAACATCAGCTTGAACTACTGACAGACATCGAGATCGACTTCATGGAGAATTGCAAATACTTGCATGCGCCCCAAGTCCATAAATATCCTGTCTCATCCTCCTGCCACCCGAACGAGAAACACTGAATCGACACGTCCAGGAGACTCCACCCACACATTTATAGGGTCTGGCACCCACCAATTCCAAATCAGCCCCCTCGAAGAATAAAGGGATGTCATGTTCAGCAGACCACGAGCGCAGTTATCCCTTGGCCAGAAGATATTAATAACCTACAGCAAGCATACCTGACTAACTTAGGTACCGGAGACTGCGTGCTTCTAGAATGACGGCCATGCACCCCTCTCGCTACCCCTCCTCTGTGGCCAAGTCCATGGACATCCATGATGATACAGACTTAAAAATTTGATACATGCCAGAAACACTGGATAAATCACCTCATATAGCCAGATCCCTTCTGACGCGAACGCGACCTCCTGTCCAGGAAAGGAAACAAAAGCGTTCGCAGGTAAAACAAGCCAAGACCCTGATCTCAAACACCTCTGACGCGGTCGTGTGTCCAAAGCCTGGCTCCCACGAAGATGGGTGACCACGATAAAGATAAAGATAAGAAGAAAAGACCATCTCCAATTGCCATCTACCAAGCTTCTGTCAAGACAGTATCGACCTTCCGAGTCAGGCAAAACGAAATCCGACTAAAGCGGGCGAATCCGCTCTATCGGCGATTGCACCATTGAGAAGCGACAATTATCCGAGGTCCTGCACCTCGAAGCGGAGAAAGAAGCGGAGTCAATCGATCAATCAATCGACCGCCGTGATAACGCTGCCATCGGACAAAGAAATGGCGACAACGTTCAGCTCCGATATATATCCCTAGAACCCCATTTCTCTTGTCACTCCCGTACATACACCCCAACTATATATGAGCACATTTGTCTAGACCACAATATATGGAATAAAACCGCCCCCAAAATGCACCCCAAAGCCCTGCCTTGGATAGCCCTGCTATCACCGACCGTAACAGCCCTCAGCATCCCACTGCCATTCGGGCCCTCCCAGCAAGTCCTCAATCCCTGGTCCGATGAGATCTGCCCACTAGCTCCCAAGATCTCGCCGCCGGAGGATGGTCTCCACCCCGCGCTTAGATTCGTCGAAGACGACTCTATTCGCGCCCAGCAGGCGAATCGTCTCTCCAGAGCCGTGCAAGTGCCCACCACGGTGACGGATTACCTGAAAGATCCGTATGACGAGGGGTTCGCGCCGTTCGTCGAGTTCCAGGATCTGTTGAAGGAGCTTTTTCCCCTGGTGTATGTCCCATCTCACCCTACACAATCCCACCCAACAAACAACCAATTAATAATATAAATACAGTCACAAAAAAGCCACCCTATCGCACATAAACCGCCTCGGCCTCGTCTACACCCTCCCCGGCCGCGACCCAACGCTCAAACCCATCCTCTTCACCGCGCACCAAGACGTCGTCCCAATCAACGATGCCAGCGACTGGACGCACCCACCGTTCGAGGGCTACTACGACGGCACCTGGCTGTGGGGCCGCGGGGCCAGCGACTGCAAGAACGTGCTGATCGGGCTGCTCTCGGTCGTCGAGGATCTGGTGTCCCAGGACTGGACGCCGAATCGGACGGTGCTCCTGGCGTTCGGGTTCGACGAGGAGTCGCACGGGTTTCTGGGCGCGGGGGCGATTGCAGAGTACCTGGAGGGGGTGTATGGGAAGGACGGGGTGGAGTTTGTGTTGGACGAGGGGGGAATGGGGCTGGAGACTCTTTCTTCTCTTTCTTCCCTTGCTTCTGATGCAAACGGTGAGAAGGAAGACGATGACGGAGTGGTCTACGCCCTCCCCGGCGTGTCTGAGAAAGGCAGCGTAGACCTCGTCCTGACGCTGTCCGTGCCGGGCGGCCACAGTTCCGTCCCGCCAGCACACACGGGTATCGGCATCCTCTCCGAGATCATCTACACACTCGAGAACAACGAGCTGTTCACGCCCCGGCTGGACGACTCCCACCCGTCGCGCAAGAAGCTCGAATGCCAGGTGCGCCACTCACCCTCCAGCGTCGAGCCCTGGCTGGCCGATGCGCTGCAGTCCAGGGACCACGTCTCCACGGCCGAGAAGCTGGCCCGCTCGCGCGGGCCCCAATTCCGGTACATCCTGCAGACGTCGCAGGCGGCCGATCTGTTCCACGGCGGGGTGAAGACCAATGCCCTGCCGGAGCATGTTAAAGCGGTGGTGAATTACCGGGTGGCGTTGCATCAGACGCCGGAAGAGGTCATGGATCGGGCGGTGCGGCTGATCGCGCCGATTGTCGAGAGGTTGAATCTGACGTTGGCGGCGTTCCCGGAGGATAAGCAGGGAGAGGAAGGGAAGGTGAACCATCTGACGATTTCGACGCTGAGCAAGGTGTTGTCGCCGGCGCCGGTCAGTCCGACGGGCACGGGCACGGATGCCGTTTGGACGCGGTTCGCTGGGGTGACCAGATCCGTGTTTGAGTCGGTGCCCAGTCTGAAGGGGAAGACCGTCGTTGTTAGTGGCGATATCATGACGGGCAATACGGATACGAGGTTCTATTGGAATCTGTCGAGGAATATCTATCGCTGGAGTCCGTCGCGCGCAGGCGGTGCGCTGAATATTCATACCGTCGATGAGAGGTTGGCCATTGATGTGCATTTGGAGGCGATGGCTTTGTATTATGGTATGTCGTTTCCCTTCTCTCTTGTTGGTCGGGTTTGTGAAGAGTATGGTTGCTGACCTGGTTAGATCTTATCCGCGAGTTTGATGCATGGGGTGGCTCGGCTGAGTCTACGTACGATCTGTGATAGAGGCGATGACTACTAGTAGGAGCACGGCGGAATACATACCCGACCTCTACATATGCTAAGATAGAAGCAGCGTTGAAACCAGACAGTCCTCGGAGCATCTGTGAACTACACCCACTCTGTTCCGGAGATCATATACAGTAACACTGTTGATTGCAGACACATAACAATGCTATAATGCAATGCGCTATGAACAGTCACAGTCTGGTTCAATGGCTTAGTAACAATAAATTATCACAAAGTAAGCGAGTATCTCCACTCGCGCAGAAGCGAACAGAATCAATATACAGTGAATGAACCCTAGTCGAGAAGTAACAATGCAAAGGCGCCACCCATGACGGGCCGCGCAATGAACGTAATGCCCGCCGGATAACTATATTGGTCAGCAAAGCCCAAGCAGCCGGTCGACCAACACTTACTTTCCAGTTTGGGTATCATAAAGATCCGTAAAGGCACGGTTGGTCGGGGTCTCGTTGATCCAGGTCGCAAGCGCATTGTGGAACATGTCTCGGACGCTCTCCGACGCCACCGCGGCTGTGAACAACTCCCAATCCGCTGAAACCCGTCAGTATTCATGGGTTGGAACTTAAAAAAAACATCGAGCTTACCCTTCGTGTACACATGCCGAGTATCAAGCGGTGTTCCGTACTTCTCCTTCACAGTCGGATAGAAAGTATTTTGCATGTCATAGACCGACTGAGGAACCAAGTTCAAGCCCAGTTCACGGTCAGCGTACAGATTGTACAGAAGCCCTGAAGAAAGTTAGTATTGTAAATGTACCCTGGCAGCGAACTGACCATGAGTCTCGTTAGCCCCGTACGACAGCGTCGTGTGCGGAGGATTGGCATTCTGCGCCACGCCTAATGTCTGCCACCTCGTGATGTAGTCCGTGGCAATGCTGGAGTGGTTCGACGCATCATCCGGGTGGCCAGTCGTATTGCTGATCACGGCCATTGCCTGGATTCCAATAATTCCCTTCAACGCCAGGTTGGTCTGGTTCCTGTGCATACTATCAGCATCGACACTTATTTCGTGCATGTACATCACCTACGCTAAAGAGCCGGCAAAATCATCTGTGGAGATCTGGTCCGCCGGGTAAATAGCATCATCCACGAGGTACGTCGTCCATTTTTGGAGGATGGAATAGTGCTGTGAGAGATAGTCGTTATCTTTAGCCTTCTGGGCGTAGGCCAGGGCCATGATAACCATGTTTCCACACTCCTCGAGGGGCATTTTCTCATCGTTGCCGTCAGGATGGCCGGTGGCATTCGGGTAGTGGGTTCCAATATCGTGCATGGCGTATGTGTGGGGGTACTTTCCGTTCTCTTGGATCTCATAGATTGGCTTCAGGAGCAGTTTGAGAAGCTCGGGATTCGTGTACAAAAAGATCGGGTGAGCGGGAAAGATGACGTCTACAGTGTTCATGTTGCCATTGGAGGAGATCTCCTTCATGAAGATGTAGGGGTCCTCGGCCGTCCCGCACAATTGCACTGCAGCAAAGACCTGACGGACCGTAAGTGAGGTGATGGTCAGGTAGTCCTGGCCAGCGGCAGCAATGGAATCCTTGGATACCCGGTCATCGAGATCCTTCGATAGCGTAGCTGCAGTAGCATAATCATGATGGAAGAACTCCAGCTACAGAGACTGTCAGAGTATACTCTAAGTCCAACGAAGAAATCACTCACCGCAGCAGTCGCAGTGCTGAAGTAGCTCTTCCAGAGTGAAGGCATCACGGTGGTTCCTTCAGGTTTACCACTGTACTGGATGGCACTGTCCTGCGCAAGGCCAATGGAAAATAACGTGCCAGCAGACGTCGTCACCGAGCCAAGGTCACGCGAAAAAGCAAAGACGGGCCAATTGGTCGAAATGGCACGGTAGTTTTTATCGTCGGCGTTGGCCAACTTTCCGTTCTGTGCGAATGCTCCTCGCACATCCACATCCGGTCCGGCCTGGTAGGTCAGACCGTCTCCGTTGTCTGTGGCCCAGTACCACTCGCCCCATTCTGCTTGCTCAGTATTCTCAGAGAAAAGCAGCTGCGTCTGGCGGTAAACCTTGTGATAGGCAACGCCACCATCGGTGACACCATAGTCCCACTGCGCAATGGCGTTTCGGTCTCCAGACACCCACTCTAAGGCCCGGTTAGACGGATCGTTGCACGGCTCCAGACGGGGTATTCTCTTGCTTACCTGCCGAAATGTCTGCGTACACCTGTACATCATGCGCTTTGCCGTCGATCGATTCGACATCTACGTCCAGATAGGAGAACACCAGTGACTGTCTCCGGAGATCATCTGGTGTGATCGGGGAGAGGAATTTCACTTTCATCTCCACCATATCCCCCACACGCATCGTGAACACACTCGAAGTTGAGGTGTACTCGAAGGAAGTCTGGTTCACCGTGGGCGTGTTCGGGATACCCCCCATCCATGTGTAGGTCGAATTATCAACCCGGATCTGGCCCGCCCAGCCATTGACTTGGCCGCTGCCACCAGGAACGTGGTTCAGTCAAAGTACCCTGAAGATGGACGTCATGAATATCTACAGCTCGGGGCTACTCACAACCAAAAAGTAGGCCATTGGCCGGCCAAGTACCCTCCATTACCACCATCCGTGCCCGCAGACAACCATGTGCTCAAGTACGGCGACTTGACAGCCAAGGGCAGGGCGGGTGGCCTCGCAGGGGAAAAGGTCGACGCAGCTCCTACGGAAGACAGCAGGGAGGCCACCGACAGACAAAACGAGAGGAAATGCATTATGATCCGTATCGAACGAGGCATGCAGGGAACATCCTCCTTTATGTACGTAATAATTTCTGATTGTTTTGAAGAATGAAAGAGCAGAATCGAGATCCGCCCTTCAGCGTGCCGCCGAGAATGTGAACCTGAAGAATGCTGAAGGAATGCCAGGCACACTTATATAGTGGGTCGGGCCTGCATACCAGAGGGGCAGGGCAGACAATTCAGGGGAGGACTCGATCAACTATGCAAATTTAGCCTGCTGCGTGAGGGTCTAGAAACGGAGTGCGGAATGGGGGCGCGCATGATGGAGACTCCCCCAACATCGCCTGACCTGCCAGGCTCTGTGGGGAGCAACTCATGCGGCTTCGATCCATCTGCCCGACAGGTGAAAGAAACACGGAATTCCAGGAGGAGCCCGACCATTGGACGGAAGACAAGATCGGAGATTAACAAGCAAGGGTTGACGGAGTGGGCATATGTACCTTATCCTTAGCCGCTTCAGACTCGACCAGTCCTCGGCCAATACACTTCGAGCCTGCAGGTGATCTCACGAAGACAAGCCCACACTAAACCATGATAGTGCTGGCTGCCAGATCCACCTGAGAAAACAAGGAGAGGCCCCAGACGCGCTAGTGGATGGTGACTATGGGGTAGTCCGAGTTAGTTTTTTCGGCAGTGCTCTGAGGGGGAATGCATATGACATTCATTACCTCGGTGCGCGAGTAAGAGAGCATCACAGCCATCTTATACTCGGGTCAAGATGATTGCGCAATAATAATACGGCGAGAGAGAGACATGAGGATGATCCAGATTGCAACGAGGGACTAAGAATAGATCTATTCCGGTAGCCGAACGAGAGACTCCATCAACCAGGATGCGGTCGAGAGATCTAGAATTCAAGGAGGAGTCGAAATGACAAAAGAAACAAAAACAATCCCGGCCTGAGGCAGCGGCCCGTCAGTGATGCTGCCGTGCCCTAAACAGGAAAGTGATACATCGAGCTGCGATGCAGCCCATGCTTGGCAGTGGGGTCGCTCTTGCCGTCTGATCAGCGAATATCAAGGCATTTCTACATGATAACATCACATCTACACCATCTATTACCATTCGCAAGAGACTTGGGTATACTACGCTGCCTCCAAAGTAGTAGTAGTCGGTCCCGTGTGACCGACTATTGTGATGCTATCAGGTGGCTAGGAGTCTATCGAACCTGCAGTGTGACCGTGACCTCCTTTTCCCTGCAGGTTTAGTACTCCCAATCAAACTCATACACTAAATGGAAACGGAGGGGGAAAGAACACAAGCATCTCTGGTTCCGCCCCACCTGATCCATCATCTCTGCCGCAGGAACCAACGTTGAGGCCCCGTTTGACGTCCCGCGAGTGGCTCCACGTCAGAGTCGCTTCCCAGACAGACATCTCTTAAGTGCAAATAAGTATATACGATTGGGCTCGGTATCGACATGGATCTATGATCTTCTTGCCTTGGCTGCGATGGTAGTCAAAGTCCCTGACCGCTTGATTCTGGGTAGGCAGCCTAGTAACATAGTTATCCAACAACTCGAGGTCACTGCGCTTTGGGCATCTCTTGGGTGATTTTCGGTAAGGGGCTCAATCGCCATTTTGCCGATCAATGAAATGTATAGATACATACGGAATAGTAGATACGTTTATTCCTATCATGGCTGCCTGGCAGTTTCGAACGCGACCATATAAAACATTGCGCGGATGAAAATGGCGAACTGCAGATTTCAATGGGGCCGGGCAACAAGGCCACAAAAACTTCCATCAACATGTAACATCCAGACGACTATTATAGGACCATTAAATTTTCCTCATAACACAACTCATGTCACATTCGCCCTGGTTGCTTTTCTTCCCCTTTCCCCTTTTTTTTTTATTGTTTTTTCCCCCCCTTCCTGGCGGCTTAGCCCTTCGTTCTATACAGCGCATGCGTAACCATAACCAAAAAGAATTGTCATTGAATCATCAGCACAAAATCCGTAAGCTCGTCAAAGTCATAATCAGACTCGTTAGCCTATTTTCGACAGCGCCTTGGAACTGCGCGCCAAGCCAATACAGAACTCGCCCCAGTCATCGCCGCTGCTGGTGGTCAACACCTCCTCGGCGATTGCCTCTTCCAGTCGCTCTCCGTATCTCCGACGGAATTCGCTTTTCACCTGCTCCAGATGGCGCGGTTCCCAGTGCAATCGGACCAGTCGGGAAATCAACAATTCCGATCGCTCCTTGCCCGTCCGCGATTCGCGCAGCGCCTGGTGGAGCAGGAGCGCGTCGCGCATGGGTCGGTTGATCACTCCGTTGAGTATATGCGCAAGGGTTTCGCCCTGTTTCCATCGAGTTAACCATGATCCTATAACAAGGGCAAGATAAAAGAAAAGAACCACCAGGGGGATCACGCAGGTTACATACCACAAGATTCTGCGACTTGGAAATCATAGCGCGGGCGAAATTCCGGCCGTAGATCCGCTCATACAAGCGGAGCACCTCTCGCAAGTGAGAGTCGCTCCGGCGCACAATGATATAGATCATCGCGGTTTCGCCTCCATGCCGCGACACCAACGCCTTGTGCAGCTCTTGGACGTCTCGTTCGATTAACTCGCCATCGAGGGGCTCCCGTTCACTCTGCCGTGTGGCCTCGAGAGCCATCAACACGGCGGTTCGGAATTTGTCGGCCTTCAGTTCGGCCTTCATGCATTTCTCCAGGCTATCAAGGTACCGTGAGTCACGGAAGCATTCTTTGATCGCACGGATTTCACTGTTACTCCGGCCAAACAGCGACTCAATCAGCAGCTCGCGTCGGGAGGTACTCGACTGGTAGTAACAGTTGGCCCAGAACGCTTCGGATTCCCACCGGCCCAACGCAGTCGCATAGCACACCTTACCAAAGGTACTGTTGCCCAGCTTCAGACGAATATGCTTGGCCAGGTTGACGCTTTTGCCGTGCAATTTCACATGCTTCTTGTACTCCGACCGGAGGTCCAGGATCTCCTCGCTGGTCAAATGGGGCAGCACACGGATGAGGGTTTTGCTATCGATGCTGCGGGTATGCGACAAGGCATCCTGCATGGCCATGGCATCGGGTTCGGGGTCGTAGAATGACACTTTCTTGCGCGGTGTGCTGGGTTCGATCAGCATCACGGCTTGTTCTTGCGAACCAGGTCGCTCTGGGCGGACCCGACTCCTCTCGCGCTTGGAGCGATCACTTTTTGGCTCCTTCAGCTCCCTCTCGTCCTTGGATTTCTTCCTCCGATGCTTTCGTAGCCCGCTGGAGTCGGAGCCGCCATCGAGGGGCTCTAGGTCCGACACGTCTTCATCCCGCTTGGAGGGGATGACGATCGGAGACGGCATCGGGGAGATGCTCTGGTACGTCCCCTTGTACGGCTCCAGCATCGGGCTCGCTGGTCGGAGGCCGGGGTCAGGGCCTGCGACCGACAGATTGTTGCCCGAGGAGACGGAATGACTCTTCTGGCGCGTGCCCTTCCGGTCGCCGGGCGCGATTTCGACATACTGCTGTCCGCTGTCCGGGCGGCTGGTGGGGGTCTTGGAGAACTGCGGGTTGGCGGAGTATTTGATGTTTGCGTATTGCGACGGTTGACCCCTGTCTGTGTCGCCCGGTTTCGCGTACTGGGGTGCCGCAGTATACGACACCGGCTGCTTGGAGGCGCCCTTCGAGGTATATTGAACTTTCGGATCGACTTGCGCGTACTGGAAAGTAGGCGGGTTGGCGTACGGGGTCTGCGCCGTGGTGTCGCTTGATACGGCGCGTTTATGGGTCGGCGAACTGACCGTGGGGGCGTACGCATGAGCGCCTGACATCGAGACGGGACGACCGCCCCAGGATGGATACGGGTTTGACTGTGCTTCGAGGTTCGCGTACTGAGGCATCGGAAACGACGGCGCGGCAGTTGTCGCCGGCTGCGGAAACGCACCCGGCATGTATTGCTCGTCGGCTTGCGACGACGGTGGGACGAACCCTGGGCGCTCACACTCTGGGATCGGCGCCCAGTCTGGTTGCGCATGAAGGTATTGGCCGGGCGTTGCATATTTGAACGCGCCCGTTTTCGCGTAGCTGGGATGACCACCTAGCGCTTCCTCGCTGGAGCGTCCGGAGGTGGGCTCCTTTCCGGCGCGCCTGTCTCCATTCAGCGCGCCCGACATCATTGCACCGTTGACCTGAGAGGACGAGGTTCGGGGAGTAGCCATGTACCCATAGTAGTTGCGCTCGAGTTCCCCAGGAATATCGCCATAGGCCAGTCCCTCGTCGTCCGAATCCGAGTAGATATCATCCGGGGGAGCATCGTAGCGAACTGGGCGAACGTTGGGGGACCGCGCGGGGTCGTTGTGGTCGCGTAGATAAGTATAGTGGCTCACATCGGAGCCCGAGGGCAGATGGCTGGCGCTGGTGCGGTAACCACGGCTCCTTGATCGCGCTCGCAGGTATTCGTCTGCCGGTTCGGAAGATAGATACGGATTCCCCAGGGCCGACGCGCGCGAACTGGAGCGCTGTCGCGATCTGGAACGGCCACGCGACCGTGGGTCGTCGGGCTGGAGAGACATGGATGACAAGCGACAGGGACCAGCGATCGCGGCAAGGGACCAACCTAAAGCGAGATCAAGCTTAAAATTAGTGCTTTGCGACCGGTAGGGGCCAGCACGATGTCAGAAACACCGGGAGAAATCCAGACTAGCGAGAGTAGAATCACGGGGAGAGATGGATCGTTCCCCGCGGGATACTGTGTGCGCAATGGAAGAGGGAAATCACACAGAAATGAGGAGAGCGCGATCGAAGCGCCCGTCACCAGGCACACTCCACTACCTTTGAGTTTAGTTTGTTGTGGCCGAGGCTGATGGACAGAAACTGAGCTACCGTGACTAGTTCAGTAGGGATCATCGGGGGTTCGTATCGCAGTTCAGGTGAGATGGCAATCGACGGGTTTCATGGTGTGTCTCCTCGAACGTGACGGGAACAAGGGAAAGGAAAAGGGAAAAGAAAAAGCAAGGAAGATGCACCTCATGGCCATTCAGTTGTAGACGAGCTGTCGAATCGCCGTCCTGGACAGGAACGAATCAAGGCCGACCGCCCTTGGAGCCGCACAGAGCTCCTGCATCTGCTGAAGCTGACGGGCGGTTCCATCTCACGAATGACAGACCAAGTGAGAGTCACTAGTAGTAGTACCTTAGTAGTCAGTTCTCGTACTCGGACGAAACCTTCCCCACTTCCAATCAGCCGTTCTGCGATTCCCGGAGTTGCCGCGAGGTTCCCGTGTGTCATTGGTCCTCGGAGCGACCGACGGGCAGATCCATTCTGCAATCTTACTTTGTCGAGTCCATACAATGTCCACGGTCCTCCATAAATCCACAACATCAAAGATGATATCCTGATATAACGACAAAGCCAAAGAAGGTGATCGTTTACGATTCACTTTAGCTGCGGATCTGGTTATACTGACCAATTCATGGACGCTTCGCAAATAGTTATAAATATATATTTATCAGTAGCTATATGATATATATTATTGGGGTAACCCACAGCACGAATAATATGGTTAAGAAACTCTACATAGTATACTAGATTCTTTTAGATACTCAAAGGTAAGATAAACTCAAACATAATTGAATCTTGCTTTAAAGTTATAGCGAGATAATTTAGGAATATTATATCACTTCGGATCACGAATGGGTAGTCGTCAGGGGACAGCATCCACAATTTTCTGTCATATCAGAAAGAATGGACAAGCAGAAATATACGGTTGGTTCCACCAGAAGAGATATAGAAGACGGTAGCGGAAGATATCGGCACCTAGTTGTGGAAGGACATATCTATGAACCCCCCGGAATGACACTTAGGTAGGCAAAGTGATGTAGTTCTCGTGACTTTCTCCCAAATGGATATAGTCTACTCCGTAAACTCTCGACAAAGCCATATCAGCTGACTGGCCGATCGACTGGCGATGCTTGAACGGTTCAACATTGTCAGTATCTGTTGATGCGACCTCAAACAGCAACCACCCGCCGGCCTGGACCACTACATCCATTGGCCACATACTACACGACCTGACCAGTCGCTCTATGCTATGATACCGTACCGAAATGTGATATGACCAGACAACCTAGTATTTCTAAGAGTGGGCATTTAATATCCTCGGACTGAATGGATGTATACTAACTACTACAACAAGGACTCCTCGCACTAGGATTCAAGCATTTTCATAAGGACGGTAGCAGACATCATCGCTTCAATTTCACAGACGCAAAACTCAACTTAGCTTTTCTCGCAAGCGCAGACTGGAGCCCGGCACAAACTCGAGCCCCTCATTCAGGTTCCCCTTCCGGGCGAAGTGAATATCCTTACCATAGTGATCGCGCGGCTGCCAGGGACCGCGGTCTGCCGCGCGAGGCAGAGCACGGGCACCGGCATGAACATAGGTTGACTTGAGTTGCAGCAGGGGGCGGTCTTGGAAGTGCTGCGCATCTTGAGCCTTGACACGCGGGACAGCAGCGACGAGCTTGCGCGCCTCGAGCATCTGGAGAATGCGGGTGATGCACTGCGCGATGGCATCGGCACCCAGGGTCCACGAAGCGTTGGTATATCCGATCACGAAGGCCGCGTTGGGAAGGTCCTGCAACATCACGCCGTTCCACAGGTACTTGGAACCGATGTCGATCTTCTGCCGGTCAACACTGAGCGTGATGCCGCCGCCGATCTGCAGCTTTAGCCCGGTGGCTGTGACGATGATGTCCGCGTCCAGCGTCGTGCCCCCATTGAGGGCGATACCCGTCTTCGTGACGGTCTTGATGGTGTCGGTGCGGACGTCTGCCTTTCCACTGCGCAGGCAAGCAAAGAAGTCGCCATTCGGACAGACACACATTCGCTGGTCCCAGGGCTTGTAATGCGGCTTGAAATGAGGGTCGTAGGAGATATGACCGGGGAGTTCCTTTTCCAAGCCGCGCTTGAGGATCCAGGTCGCCAAGGAGGGGAAGCGCTGGCAGAAGAGGAAGAACATACGCTGCCTCAGGATCCAGATAGCTCGTTGTAATCCGTGATAAATGCCCGATGGTAGGAGGTATGATAGTCTGCTGTTGGCTTTGTGGTTGGGGACTGAGTACACATAGGTCGGACTACGCTGGAGCATCGTGATATGCGCCGCCTCATCGGCCATATTAGGGAGAAGCGTGATTGCGGTAGCGCCACTACCGATGATTACAACCTTCTTGTTCTTGTAGTCGAGGTCCTCGGGCCAGAATTGCGGGTGCACAACTTGGCCCTGGAAGTTATCCAGACCGGGGATCTTGGCCTGCAGCGGCTGCTTGTAGTCGTAGTAGCCGGTACCGAAAATCACGAAGCGCGCAGTTATGGTCTGGGGTACACCATCCGCGTCCACGGCCAGCGACCAGGTGTTGTTGGTGGTGCACCAGTCCGCTGAGGACACATGGTGCCGGAACAGGATATGCTTGTCGATACCGTACTTCTCGGCAGTGGTGTGCATGTATTCCTTGATCGCGGAGCCTTCTGCAATGGGGTTGTTGTGGTTCCAGGGATTGAACGCGAAGCCGAAGGTAAATAGGTCTGAGTCTGAGCGAATGCCGGGGTAGCGGAACAGGTCCCAGGTACCACCCAGGTCCTCGCGCGCTTCCAAGATCGCATAGCTGAAGTTGGGCAACTGCTCTTGGATGCGATAGGCAGCGTTGATGCCGGAGATGCCTGCGCCAACGATAATCACGTCAAAGCACAACTCTGGCTGTACCGATGTGTGGCTGTTCATGTTAAAATGAGTTGGAGAGTAGAAGTATGATGAGCATTAGATTCGGGGCACAACGTTTCTTAAAAAGAGCTCATACACCTCGGCCTCAACTCACGATGCATACGCCATAGTGCCAGGCCCGTGTGACCTCTTTCATGGGGTAGATCGATTCATCCTCGTCTGAAATGCCGGAGATATGCTATACTATGCCGAGTCGAGCGTGCCTAGTTGTATGACTTCAGTCCATTCTTTTGCCGCCCTCCATATGCAGCCGATGGAGTCTCCACATCCTCAGAACAACTCGGCATCACCCAAATCAAAGAGGAGCTAATGGTTTCGCAACCGATCTAGATCAATGAGATACATAGCACTACAAACCGGGGTCTTGGGGTAGCCGGTCGGTACTGCTCGGCAGTCGTCGGTTCTCTAAACCTAGACTAGATTTCGGCCTCCGCATCTAATCCTCTAGCTAGATAGCAAGGTGCATAATGCATAGAATATAGTGGCATTGGGTAATAAAATTAATTGATATTCACCTTGCACAATTTGTTAGCAATATGTCGTTTTGGTGCCCGGCTGACTGAGATCGTTGTCTCGTTAGAGGGCCCAACGGGTTATACGGCAATGTAGACTAGGGCTTTGGCAGTCATAGCAAGCCAGTTCTATTAGATGCTAGGGTATGGCACAAGGGGGAGTCCGCTGTGCCATCTACACTACGCCAATTCAGTACTCTTTGCTTATGATTTCTGTAGTCTTTTAGTAGCAAGAATTCTGTGATGAGCGCGTCTGCGTCTCTTGTGTCATTCACATACAAGATATGTACTCTATCAATCTATTTAATTATTCGGAACCTGGCGCTTCTCAATGAACTTCTTCTCGCCAAAAGCCTGCTTGACTCCGTCGACGGCAATAACGCGCTCGTACCACGCGACGGTGACCGGGCACCTAGAGCGCATCTCGGCATCAATACCCATGGAGAAGCCCCAAGCCAGCGCGGAGGCGAGGGTGATATCAGCCATGGTGATCTTGTCCTCGCTACACAGCCAGGTGCGGTCCTTCAGGTGGGAGTCGAGGAAGGCGAGCGAACGCTCCAGGCGCTCGAGGGCGTTGTTCTCCACCGCTTCGTCATAGGGCTTGGCCCCCCTCCGCCACAATGCCAGCTGGATGACATTCTCCATGACTTCACCGTGGGAAAAGCAAATCCACTGTCGGATGGTGACGCGCTCGACAAGAGTACTGCCCATCAACTGCTCGGCGGCTGGGCCACTCAGAGCGACATACTCCGCAATGGCATCCGTCTCGAACAGGTTGGTGCCGTCGGCGCCCTCGAAAGTGGGCACTTTGCCGTAGGGGAACTTGGCCAGGAATTCAGGCGTGCGGTTGGTCTCGCGCATGACGAAGTCCGGGAAGGTGAGCTCCAGGCCGTTGAGGTTGGCTGCCGCCTGGATCTGTTGGGGGTATGGATTAGCAGTTATCAGGAACAAGCGAGTAGGCCGCACGCACTCTCATAACCCGGGGGCTTGGAATGTAGGACCAGATCTTTCCGAATGGAGCCATTTTGTCTGAGAGGATATCGAGAGCGGTCGTATTCGTGGGGCGAATAATCATGCGATGATAACGGTTTATATATGTCTCTACTCTTCCTATTTGGGTTTATAATAGGCTCTGCTTGAGCGGCAAAAGTGGGGACGGTATCTTGATTTCTAATTATCACGACATGAGTTCGACTCAGCAACTGACCGGGCCTTATTCGCAGCTAGCCCCGCGCCCTAATTGAAGCCTATCCCGCAAGCCGAATCAACCGAGTGCCAGGCCCGCCGCCACGGTCAAACTACTTCCGGGTGGAATGAGTTTGGTGGTCTACAGTAGCATTGCAAAGTTTGTCCTAGGCTTCCTTCATACTGTTGCAACTATCTTAGACCGAGTAGCGTGTGATCAGGGGTTTGGTTTCCTGCACATGCACCTTGATGCAGTTTCACTTGACAGACCACAAGGGTTTCATTGTGATATCTCTAAGAATGTTATACCTGCGATGCTCTGAGACTCTGATTCCTGGTGGAAGAGAATTCATCCATTCTATGTGCTTCGTAGCTTCATGGTTCCCTTATTTCTGTGTTGATTCCTGAACTTGGTCGATCGGATGGTTGAGTTAATAGAATTATCACTCTGTCCTTTCGTGGGGACAGCAAGGAATAGTCATAACCCGTTGAGAGAAGGAGAGTAAGATGCGCTATTCATAGACCAAAGTCTCTTTACGAAAGCGGAAGACTCCATGACCAAATTTGATTTTGTCCTTGAACTATGCTTGATTTGATTGAGCGCTCTATTAACATCTATCAAAACAAGCAGAGAGAGTATCGGTTAGTTTGTATAGCGATAGATAGGATTGGGCATAACTAGAAATATGCGATGATTCGTTGATTGACGAAAAGACTACTAATAACAGTGACCTTTTACCTGAGGACAGGTTGAATTATCCTCGGTGACAGGAGCGAATATCAGGGTTAAAATACCGAAGTTCACTGCAAATTCAACACTATATACAAAAGCACATTGCAAGAAATCATAAACACCTAATCGTATACCCAGGTGAAATTGTATCCACCTCGCTCAACACCTAGATAGATGCATTTCGGCAAAACCCAAGCTGTTGATCCATAACATCTTCTAGGATAGCCTCAAATGGGCGCCATTTCATACCAAGCTCTCTCTCCGCTTTGGCTGTATTAACTGGGCTCACCACACTAGGCGCATCCTCGGTGATGACTGCCCCAGCATCTGGGTAGCGCTTTTGAATAAACCGTGCAATTTCGGGTACAGTCGTACTTCTCCCAGCCAGCAGATACTTCGAGCCATCCACTATTTTCTGATCGAGCGCTCGGATATGCGCTTCGGCGACATCCTGAACATGCACTGCAGTCAAAAATCCAGTCGGGGTGCCTGCCATGATAAATCCCCATAGAGCCCCGTTGGACCCTCTCTTGACCCCGTCGGCACATGTCTGCATCAGATTGCGGCCATACACAAATGCTGGATGCAGCGTCACTAAGGCGTACTTCGGCTTAGCTGTTTTCCAAAAGTCCCAAGTTGCCGCGTCGGAAAGCAGCTTGGAAGCCATATAGAGTGTCATGGGTGTTGCAGCCGGATTCGTAGGGTCCTCGAAGTTTCCATCTTCATCGACTGATAGATCCCAATCATTGTTTTCTAAATAGAAGAAAAAGAGTGTCAAGACGATACCGATCCGGAAATTAAAGAAAAGGATATTGTTTACCTTGGATTACTCCACCCTCTGGAACACCAGTCAATGGCACCAAAGCAGCCATGGATGAGGTAACGACGACCTTCCTGATACTTGGTACCTTGCTTGCCGCCTTCAGCAAGGCAGTAGTGCCTTTGACTGCTGGGGTGAAATAAGTTTCCTTGTCGGTGCCATGAGGAAGAGGGGATGCCAGATGGAGCACAAAGTCCACCCCGTCCAGCTTGTCGCCGAACGCCATTTCATCCGTAAGATCTGAAACGAACACAAATTCCACTTGACTTCCATACTTTGACAGTAAGGCCTGCAATTGAGGCGAGGGCCTACGAAGGCACACTCGTAGTCGATATCCAGCCTTTAGGGCTTCCACGGCAGTGGCGCTGCCAATAAAGCCAGAGGCCCCCGTTATGAAGATTAATCCCTGAGACATTTTGCTTCTTGTTACTTCCTTATTGTTGAATATAGATACTAAAGTCCTATGTGGTATCTTTTATACTTCATGCTTTCGAATTTGTCATCCGTCGTGTAGTTCAGACCTAGCCCTGGCGTCGGACAAATTCCCCCCACATACTGAACATAGGATAGTGTTTAGACTTTCATAATTTGCCGGGGCTTTTCGATCTATAGAGGCTCTAGGCTAAGCAATCGTTTGACCAACTTTTTTTCGTCTGGCCCTAGAAAAGCCGGCACTGTTCGGCGGCGGCTTCGGCTTTCGGCAGAGTGCTGACTGAGGTCAGTTAATCACTCGCGATCTTTGACGACATGCTTCCTCTCGGTATGTGTCGGATGTCGGGGCTGGATATAGACAGGCAGATATGCCCAATATTCATTAACCTAGTCCTTGTACCGAGCCCCTGAGCGCCCGATCGTATAACGATGACCCAGTTGTCTTCGGCAACTGTGTGAACCGTGTTAGCTCACCCTACCAAGAGTATTATCGTATCATCTTAGACCGCCATTGGTGTGTGATAGGCAAACTCCCTCCTCTTCGGGGCTGAGTACCCTTTCCAGTCTAGAGAGGTTCTACTAAGCTATCTGAGAGTCATCAAACTCAACCAAAATGTACACCACCTTGCCGTCCAGGCGTATGGCGTTCTAGACTTCCGACAGGATCCCCTGTTCTGCACCATATCCTTTGACTTGTAAAAACGTAAGAGATCCGTTCGGTTAATACATGGCATGGCCAATGCAAGGAGATGCCTTTCGTAGCGCAGACAGGTTAAATCGTCACCTTCCATAAACGTCGGTATCACGCCATCCCATTGAACGCGGCTTCGGCAATGACAGCCGGTGTTTATGAGCCTATGTTACACGTAGTGTATTGCGAATCCCAATCCCAATTCATAGACTATACACAATTATTATCCCACGTCATAAAGTGACCTCATAAAGTGGGCCCTGGAGGCAATATGCAACATGAGGTATTCATCTAAGCGGGGTTACCGTCGAACAGGGCCAGAGAGCCGAACGAACGGGGTAGAGCTGCCAGAATATCTGGGGAGATAGGGTATAAATTGCGAGTTTTTGCTTTGCTTTGAGAGCTACTACAGACGCTCAAGATTCTAAATCCTCTGAACAACAAGTATATTCCTCTCTACCATTATGGCTCCCTCTCTCTCCACCGAGACCGCAGTCTCTTCGGGAAAAGGCCCTAGACTAGTACCTATGAAACTCAGCGGTGCTCTGGATGCTTTCGAGTCATTTGATGTCACGCCAGTCATTGGACGCGAATATCCCAACGCAAGCCTGAAGGACTTCCTGTGTGCTCCAAACTCCGATGCATTGCTCCGAGATCTTGCTATTACCAGTGGGTCCTCTTCTCTGGATGATCAATCGAGACTAATAACCTTGTTCTAGTTTCTCAGCGAGGAGTGGTCTTCTTCCGCAAGCAGGATGGCCTCACAGACAAGATGCAAAAGGAACTAGCTCAGCGACTTGGTGAGCTCTCGGGAAAGCCGAAGACCTCCGGACTCCATATCCACCCGGTTGCCAACTCCCGCCGGGAGATAAGTGTCAAGGACGATGAAATCAGCGTGATCAACTCCACGGAGGGCAAGAAGCTGTACAAATCCCGTGTGATCCGCCACCAAACCGCCAGAAAGGAGTGGCACAGCGACATTACTTTCGAGCCCGTTCCGAGCGACTATACCATCTTGCGGTTGACCGTTCTCCCCAGGACTGGCGGCGGTAAGCATTGATCCTCCTTCTCTGATGATCTTACCAAGCTCATGCACAAGTCCAGATACTCTGTGGGCTTCCGGATACGAACTATATGACCGCCTCTCACCACCGTACCAGAAATTCCTGGAAGGGTTGGATGTCACGTTTTCGCAGCCTCAATTCAACCAATTTGCGAAGGATAGCGGCTTTGAGATTTTCAAGGGCCCACGTGGTGCTCCTGAGAATGTCGGCGAAGAACTACGTGCGGTCCACCCGCTGATCCGCACCAACCCTGTGACAGGATGGAAGAGTGTCTTCGCTGTCGGCACCCATGTGGAGAAGATTAACGGACTGAGTGACGAGGAGAGCAAGCATCTCACCGACTGGTTTGTGAATTTGATCATGGAGAATCATGATCTGCAAGTGCGCCACCGTTGGGGAAACCCCAATGACCTCGGTATGTCTCCCAGTACTTATGTTGCGAGCTACTGATCGCTGACATCTTTGATAGCAATCTGGGATAACCGATCCACATATCACGCAGCAACCTGGGACTATGAAGATATTGGTCCACGAGCTGGTCACCGCGCTGTCAGCCTGGGCGAAGTGCCGTTTTATGACCCAGCGAGCACTGGAAGACGGGAAGCGTTGGAGAAAGAAGCACTGGAGAAAGGAGAATAAAGCAAGCACTGCCTGTCATCTACAATCAACATCATTGCCAATCATGGCCTGTGATAGGCTACTTGGGCAAATGCAACGAGTATATGGACGGGTATTTTGTTTCATATCATGCCGCGTTTCTGCACAATTCTTTTCATCGAGTCCGAGTACCATTGTGCTTGACTTCTATTTTCTATGATTCAAAGTAGTGTACGTAACCTGAGCCGTTGTAATATCCAAAGGCTTGATACTATGTAGAAATTTGATCTTGGATATGAAGAAACAACAAGTGATCTGTCGTAATATCAGACACTAGGCAACGTTATACGTTCCATCTGATGCCTCAGACCGTCTAACAGCCACAGTAGCGGAGTTTGGCCCGCTCTATGTATCTTTGAAAAATGGCTTTTCACCAAATAAATCTTGCCTAAGAATCATATCAGACCCGTATAGTAGTCAAAAGTCCCACGGAGTTTACTTCAGAACCAAGTGTGACTCGTCTAAACCGCGAGTTACTCACACTTTGGGGTTTACGGCCCAGCAGATCCCCAGGTCACCTATTGACCCCGATGAGGTCGCGCGAGAGCTGATAGACTTTCGTGATAAATTATAATCAGAATAGATAAACTAACAAGAAGGGGTCGGTATAACCAGGATCGGCTGGGTTTCAGAGGAATCGGGTAAGAGCCGATCGACACTCTATTAGGGCTATTCCTCTGAAATAAAGGGCTACAGATCGTATGCGAAAAAGTAAGGAATAACAAAAACTGCGGGGCCCCGCATTCTATTACATCTCTCTTCCTGTGGTCTAGCTTGGATCGAATGCATCGTGCCGTGATTCTATGGATTGCACTGCCACTCCGCGATGACGTCCAGGAGCCATCGACTGCCTTCTTTTTGTTTGTGCCGACAGCCGATCACCATGATTTCCCGGCGTAGTGTTCCCCAGCTGCAAACATTAGTACTGTATTGACCCCCACAAGGTACGCACCCCATTGCCGGAGATCGGCGCGTGTTTGTATAAATCCTTAGCTTCGAGTATATTCGTGCACACCTCCGTCGAAGTAAAACACGGCCATCATTATGACTACTCAGCTCGCCCATCGGCCGCGTCCCCATAGTCGCACGGCTCGCGCTATTGCTATATCCTACCTCATCTCCGGTATAGTAATTCCTTTCATCCCGCCGGCGCTCGAAAGCTTGCGTCAGAAGAGCTCAGACCTCCCAGACAGCAACAAGTGAGTACGCTGGTGGCATCCCGCATACATGCACAACACGTCGTGCGGTGTGACCCATGACCCTAATGCGATATAGACCTCATCCCCCTCTCTGCTTCCATGCACGCTAGGGAAGATCTCATCTTCTTGACGGGCATGCATACAACATCAACTATGTCAATGCTATTTTGATTTTTCTTGGTTGGCAGTGTCTCATTGAATACAGTTGGTTTATTACAGAGGGGACATGCGGGCCTTGTAACTAGTACCAAGGGAGGAGCTAGTGACTGGACGTCTCACTGTGTAGACCAGAAACCAACTTAATACACGTTGTCTATCCGAGGAACAGAACGACTGCTTGATTTAGGGGAGAAATCTGTGCATTCTATAGATAGCCAGTCAAAAACGTAAACAGAAAGAATGTGATGAGGATATTCAACAGGCTTTCTACAACCAGGGTCCACGAGGCAGAGCGTTGCCTATACATGAATGAAACAATTGTGCTCCTAGTTAGACACCTTCTCGCTCAATGTGTATCAGAGTTGACCATGGCATCAATCTTCGCGCGAGCGCTTTGGAAGACCCCCATTTGCTCATTTGTACGGTCCACATGAGGCACGTCGACGCCCTTCTGCACCGCCGCCCGCTTGCCGATCTCATCGACCCATCTCTTGACAGCCGGAAACTCTGAGAGATCAATCTCCAGCAGCGCAGGGCCTCGACGGACCCAGGTATAGCTGGCGATATCAGCAATGGTATACTTTGAGCCGGCAAGATAGGGGCTTTCCGTCAGACGGGATTCCAGGACCGAGTAAAGACGCTTGGTCTCGTCCATGAATCTCTTGATCGCGTGGTCGGAGCGGACATTGGCAACCAGTCGGAAATGGTTTGCCTGGCCTATCGGAAGGACAATCACATAAGCCCGAGAAACTATTGCCATGTTTTCAACATACCCTGCATGGGACCAATGCCACCGATCTGGAACATCAGCCAGGACACCTGCTCAATGTACTCAGGAGTGCCAGGTGCATAGCTGATCTTGCGTTCCGTGTCGTATTTGTCGGCAAGATACAGCATAATTGAGCCACTCTCGAAAACGCGCTGTGAGCCGTCGGTAAGTGCCGGGATACGGCCATTGGGGTTAATCTTCAAGAACCACCTATGTTTTGATCAACGTTAGCAGGACGGCGTCTGAGATGCGGATGTCGAGGACAACCGTACTCCTCCTTCTGCACACCGGCTCCAATATCAATTGGTTTAATCTTGTAGTGTAGGCCAAGCTCTTCCAGGGTGATGGACGCCTTGATGCCATTTGCAGTGGACCAGGTGTATAGTGTGATGTCGGACGACATCGTGGTGGAGGTGCTGATTGTAGATGAGAAAATGCAGAGTCACGATGTGGTTATGAGCTAGCTATCGTGGAGAGTATGACAAAGCATCACCAGGGAGAGCAGGAGAGATAATATGGCCCGCGACGTGACGTTGAGCTTTGTATGTACAGTACATGTTTGCTGTTTCATCTTCGGGGAACAATGGGTCAGTTACATTTCCTCCTCCAGTCATGAATGATGTCATTCCCAAGGCCGAGGCCGAACCTGATCCTTCCCCGGGAAGTTTGAAGTGTGATTCGTCATAGACTCTTACATTTGTTCCTGGCTGTTGATGCGGGGGTCAACTATCTTCCTGGATGGCGACGATGCCCCATTTTTGCGGGGTTTGGGTGCCGAGCTCTGCCGTTCGGTCGGCGCAGCTGTGCCGAAAGCTTAGCGAAGTGGGCCCAAAATGGGTATACCCTCCAAGTAAACATAGCACAATGGCTGAGGAAGCAACCCAGGCTGCTGTTGTGAGCCAAATCGAGAGGGCATCTCTTCTACTCGGTCAAGATCAGGGATGGGATCTGTTTCACACCTATATCGATATCGTATGCCAACACCAACACTTCCCTGGTCTCGTACAAAATCACTTTCCGTGACCCGTCTTCACTACTGGAAATCAGATATAGAGATAACTAGTACAGCAATACAGTCCACCATATCCGTAGAATAATTGGAAGAGGATGACGAGGATATATTCGGGCAGTTTGCATAGTGGACAATTGGGAGACACTTCATCAAGGGCAAGTTTATTCTCGGTAGTCGGCAACTTTACGAACAGCCTAAGCGCCTCTAAGGGATACATGGAGGTTAAGACGATTCCAACGGACCCACTGCCTCCAGACAGCTTCCCCAGATTTCTGAGGAATTACCCCGCCCCTTCCTCTGGATTGGTAGCATTTGATAAAGCACATGGGCCTGGAAATCATTCCCATCGCCTCCTACTGCTAAACGAACTCCGAGCCTGTAGAGCCAAAAGCGAGTAGGTGTCGGTGCTGACAGATACGGATAACAACCTCGTTTTCTATACGCGAGAAACATGCATACCAGAGACAAAGAATCTAAGGATGTTGATGAATTCATCGAAGATATTGATAGCGCCCAGGCTGAGCACGGAGCTGCAACCTCAACAGATTCCAGAAATGTCGAAGAGTTTACAGAGAAAGAACAGAGGAAGATCATTCACAAGGTCGACCGTCGCCTTGTGACGGGGCTGGGGCTTCTCATGGGCATGTGTCTTATGGATAGGACGAATCTTGGCTCAGCTTCCATTGCTGGGTATACACCCTTTATTTGCTATTCTTCCTTAGAGCATATAATCGACTGACCGAGGATGAATCTACAGAATGTCGGAAGACCTTGGTCTGGAGAGCGGCCCGAAATATGTACAGTAGGTCTTATTCGCTCTGTGGCCGTATACTGATAGTACCGCAGTCCCTTGTGCTTTTGATATTTTTCGTACCTTATGTGCTGGTGCAGCTGCCCGTCAATGCCATTGCACAAAATCTCAGCCCTAGACACTTCTCTAGTGGTGTCACGTTGTGCTGGGGTGTACTGATGGTGGTAAGATGGCAGACACGTTTCTCCTCCGTCGCTAACTGCAAAAGGGCGCGGCCTTCGTCGACGAATGGTGGCATCTCATGATTATTCGGGCCTTACTCGGGGCCTTTGAATCGAGTCTGTATGCATCACTCCTTCCTTTGCTATCCGCTTGGTACACCCGATACGACGTGCATAAGCGATTCTCAATCAGCTATTTTATAAGCTGTCTCGTATCTGCCCTCGGACCAGTTCTGGCGTGTGGCTTCATGCAGATGGATGGATTGAGTGGGCTTGCCGGCTGGAGATACATCTTTTTAATGGAAGGCGTCCTCAATTTCCTTGCTGCCATCATCGGCTGGCTATTGCTGGTTGAGTATCCCCAGGGCTCTCACAAATGCTGGATGTTTTTGACAGAGAAAGAGGAGGCATTCATCATCCGCCACATCAATGCTGACCGAGCAGATGCCGCCGAACAGATCCAGTTTGACCTTCGTGACTTCCTACGTCCCGCCAAAGACTGGAAAGTCTTTACCTACCCTATGATGTTTTTGTCAGTTATTTCCCTTCTATACCATACTCGACCAGTTTCACTACTAACTGTCTACTCAACAGACTATCAACCTGCGTTTCCTACTCCATCGCATTTTTCCTACCTATCATTCTAGTATCCAAACTAAAATTCGGGGTAACCGCCGCACAAGCACTATCCACACCCCCATACATCGTAGCCGGGATCTGGATGCACATCACCGCCTGGTCCGGCGACAGATACCACATCCGCGGCCCTCTCGTTCTATCCAACTGTCTTCTGTCGACCGTCGGTCTGGCGCTTCTGGGCTGGGTCGCGTCCCCCGGGGTGCAATACTTCGGGGCCATTCTTGTCACCTCCGGTAGCAACGCAAATGTCCCCACGAACCTGGCCTGGCAGGCCAACAATATCCGCGGGAAATGGAAGCGCTCGTTCTGCAACGCCTTGCTCATCATGGGTGGTGGCATTGGCGGCATCGTCGGGTCTTTGGTATTTCGTTCGCAGGATGCGCCGACGTATCGGCCTGGCATTATAGCGTCGATTGTGTAAGTGCTTGCTGCTGTAGCATCCTTGATGCTTTTTTCGTTTGAGATACTAACTCTTGGGATCGTGGTGCAGGGCCAGTGTTATCACTATGCTTATTTCGGTCGTTTTGATGCTAAGGATGCGTGCGCTTAATAGGAAGGCTGCCACTGGGGGTATCGTTTTGGAAGAGCTAGCTGGGTTCAAATACACGCTGTGAAACAAGGAGACGAAGGGTGGGCTTTTCTAATATTTGTTTGTCGGCATGAAAGCACCTTGGTGTCTGGAGGCGATGGCCGTGAAAGTTATCTACTCCTGCCTTTGCTCAATTCGAAGAAGGGCGTCGCCGAGTCATGTATGGTATACATGAAGCTAGAGCATTCCGATGAAAAGGTTAACTGTGTTTATGAATAAAACTACATATTCAAATATTTTCCTTGTTTGAGGGCTGTGGATATTCTGTGAGCATGCACCTAAGATCAAGCAACCGGGTAACAGAAGCAACCATGCAGTGCATTCACGATGAAGTATTCTTTTGTAAAGCCACACCGCACAAGAGAGGTGATTAATAGCGGCCCCATGTCCCACAGGCCGGTTATAAAGGTAAGATAGGGAAATTATAACAACCTAACGGATATGCAGCTTGTGAGCTTCCATCATCATCATAGGAAAGACAAAAATGCTCGGGAGATCATTCAATTCATAGTTACATTCATGCCCAGATAGCATTGACAGCCTATAGAGGCAATCAACCTAGGGTATGACCAAGATGCCTGATCCCTTAGCCTACTTGAATCTTGACATGGTCCTCGCTCATAGCCTATAAGCGCCCAATGAAGCAATGTAATTCTTGCCTCAGCCATTCAGAGTAACTGTGTCATCCGCCGACGCACTTACACCGATCAAGCTTAACGCACTGGCCAAAGCCCTAGTGGTAGGTATGTTATGAACATCGTTCCCATTGGTTCGGTGGGGATGAGCCGGCACATTGTTTTCGGCGACTGGGTGTGCCGTCCACTGCCGGCATACTCTGTCTTCACATCTCTGTGTAGATTACTTTCGGCCGACATTGTCGAATAGCCCGCGGCCAGTACGACCATGAGCCTAGATTCGTTCTTCCCAGGCTTTTTAACTCGTTTCCTCCTGCCTCCCACTTTACCTCCATCGCGGTCTATCGATCAATATAGCCTATCCTCCCATGTTGCACCAGGTCGCCTCGGTCGTTCACAAAACCCAACAGGGTACTGACCAGAAAGAGATGCCACCGGCCGAAATCCCAGAACCTATTGAGAGATCGAAACACGATGTCGGTTGGCGAAAGGTCGTCCGGAACTTTACGCCATCGTGAGTCGCAGCAGACAATGTTGGAGAGTCAGAGACTAACTGTGACACAAGCTGGTTCTCTGTTAATATGGGAACAGGAATCGTGTCGATCCTCCTCAACACTCTGCCGTACAATGGTCAGTGGCTTTACTACATCTCCATCATCGTTTTTATCTTGAATGTGGCATATTTCATTGTCTTTCTGGCCATTACTCTCCTCCGCTACATCTTGTATCCGGAGATTTTCGAGGTGATGGTCACTCATCCAGTCCAATCACTCTTCCTCGGTACGTTCCCAATGGGGCTTGCCACCATCATTAATATGTTTTGCTTTGTCTGTGTACCGCCATGGGGTGATGGCGCAGCCTATTTTATATGCGGCGTGTGGGTTTTCGACGCGGTGGTATCGGTCGTGGTTGCTATCGGAATCCCGTTTCTCCTGTATTGGTCTCTCTCCCTTATTATATTTGCGTCTCTGCTAACGCCAATTCACAGAACAGCGAGGAACAATGGGCTCGATCTGTCCTCCATGACTGCTGCTTGGCTTCTGCCAATTGTCTCGTGTGTGGTTGCGGCGGCGTCCGGCTCCATCGTTGCAGATATCCTGCCCGACGCACAATTCGCCCTTGGGATCATCCTGGCCAGCTATATCCTTTGGGGAATCGGCGTTCCCCTCGCGATGATGGTCATCTGTATATATTTGCAGCGACTGATGTTTCACAAGCTTCCACCAAAAGGAATGCTAGTAAGCGTGTTTCTTCCCCTTGGTCCCCTGGGACAGGGCAGTTATGGGTAAATGTGGCCCGACACTGAGTTTTACCCACCTTTTCTCTTCTGATGAAACTTCATAGTATCCAAAGGCTGGGGAGAAGTGCGCAAACAATCTTTCCAAAGACGGGTACCCTGAGTGCCTCCACTGGCGAAATCTTCTATAGCGTCGGGTTTTTGATCGGAATATTACTCTGGGCGTTTGGCGTCGTTTGGCTCTCCTTTGCAGTCGCAACCCTGGTCAAGACGAGGAAATTCCCTTTCAACATGGGATGGTGGGCCTTGACCTTCCCGCTGGGAGTTTTTACCACTTCGACCTGTAGCATCGGCCAGGAGCTGCCGTCGCGCTTTTTTTCCGTTTTGGGGACGGTGAGCACCTTCTCCCTCACCATATCAATGATCCATACTGACGAACGTCAGGTATTGTCCGTCGCGGTTGTGATTCTGTGGCTGCTGGTTAGTTACTACACTTCCCGCGGCATCATTCGAGGTGATGTTTTCGTTGCACCTTGTCTTGAGAATCTCCGAAGAGGTAAAGCATAAAGTCGAGTCTGGTGAAGATTATTGGTGGGGGGAGAGGTCTCCAGTCAATCTTTGTGTCAAATAGAGAGCATGCATCAGAGGCCGCTCGTTCAGAAGGTGACCAGGGTTTCACTAAGCTCGCGTGGCTGAGCACCGCTCGGTACTGACCGGCTGTCGTCGGCAGTCGACTTTCTTCTCTATTGGAGAAGTTCGTCATCTAAGCTTCCGGTGATTGCCTTGGCTCTTGGTACTATATCGCTAGGAATACGGATAGATGAACTGCAGATCCAACAGACCTGTTACCACCAAGACAGTGAATCTACCACAGAAAACAATTCGACATAGCAAGTTGTCTGGATGTTTATAAATAGTACAGTGCGCTTGTAATACCCCAGGAGGTGTGGCAGAACGGTGGTGGCGGAGCTGCTCCCGGGCCTCTGTTCAACGATGATCCTCATGCAGTCCAGTCTGACTCTAGTTTGGATCCGATATAGCTTCGATGGTTTACCTCGGTCGAGCCTAGCGTCCGTTGCAACGTGGGGCGACCCCGCAGAGAAAAAGGACAAGCCCAGAACTATCTGGTCGCACAGAATAGTCCTCGTCCAAGCATGGCCCGCAGTAGCTCGGGTGAAGCAATTGAGCAATACCGATCAATGATTGCGTGCCCTGGTACTCTGCACTCCCCGCGCGCGTAGGAAGCCATGCATAGCTGCCGAACTAGACCGGGCGTAACCAACAGCAGGAGCGGATGGATTGGAAGAATAATCAAAGAGGGCATGTTAAATGCCTATATGTATCCGGTGAGAATAATAAACTAAATGAGGGATTCTGTGCTGCGATAGTCGGAGTACACTTGTTTCACGCTGCTACCCACGTCCAAGTTGGCATAAACGCATAAAAACGGCTAAAATGGAGGGACACGGGAGCAACCAATCCGAGGGGACTGGAAGTCATTCTCCACTCTGCTCGATATGAACCTTTTTGCTGTGTCTTGTATCCTGCCATCACTCAACGGGGATTGGATGTTGAATCAGTTCCCCCCTCAGTTCGGCTACAAATATTGATAATACGCTTCAGCCCAACCACAATGCTCCATGCGTATTATTTATTGACCTTTGCACTTCTGTTCAATCACCAGAGTGCCGAATACCCTGTACGATTTGCATAACATCATCGTGCTGGTCATCATGGCCACATCGGGTCAACCACTTCACGGAGTCCGAGATCGGGCCAGGATCGTGTGCTGCCAGTGTCATGCACGCAAGGTCAAGTGTGATTTGCAGACTCGATCACAGGGCACTTGTTCCAATTGCTATAAACATGGATTAGCCTGCCAGTAAGGGTCATGAGGTGGTGAGATGGCTACCGGATTGCTGATTCATGTCCAAGACCTCGCACCAACCGAAGAGCGACTGTCAAGGAAAGATATGCAAAGCAAGCGCTGGGGTCTCCGAGACCCAATGGAACAGCTGCTCAAGGGCTGGACAGGCCAGTGACTCCAGAAACATCCATCATTCGCGAGCAACGAGACCAAGTGGCTGTAGCTCCAGCACCGGAAGCGTTTCATAAGCAGTACCTTGGTGCAATGACATATATCATGCATAGTGCTCCTAGCATTCCCCCAAACTATCAGCGCATCACAGCCTTCTCCAATAGCCGGAACCAGGAGATCCTGACGATCATAGACCCGACGGCATCTCCACCGACCATCTTATTCAATGCATATAGCGACGCCTACTTCCAACACCTGTTTCATCAGTTCCCCGTGATTGATCATGCCGACCTCTCTTCCAACAGACCGTCGCTGGCGCTTCAGCAAGCCATTTGCATGGTGGGAACTATGCTGCGACATCCCAAAGGACCGGATATTCTGTCAGACAACGAGAAATATTACTACAACGCCAAGACCCTCATCCACACCAACCACGAGCAGGACCCGATGACCGTTCTGAAGGTGTTGTGTCTGTTGGCCACCCGCAACATCGCTGGCCCGGTATTGTTGACCGTGGATTGTGCGTGGCATTGGTTGGGGATCGCAATCAGACTGTTGCAACAAATGGGCCTCCACCGCGAAGAAATGTGTGTAGCATCGGCCAGTCCGGGGATGGCACGCAGGATTGCGTGGTGCCTTTTTGTACGTATCCCCTGAATCCCACGGGCTCCTACTCATCACATCAAGGTACAAGATAAACTGTTATCGGGTGCATTTGGACGGCCGACGTGCATCAAAGAAGACGAGTTCGATGCTCGACCCCTGGCGGAAGAGGATTTCGAGTGCCCCGGCATCCAACCTTTGCTGTTCATGCAGCTGGCCAAGATAGCGAGCATTCTGGGTCGGATATTAGACCTCCGATGGCGGGCTCCTAAAGATATACAAGCCCAGGTATCTGTGCCTTGCGTCATTTAGCATACGTCTATGATATAACACAGATTTTCAAACTTACTCTTTGCGGCCATAACAGCATGCAGATATCCTCCATTCACTGAAAGATTGGATCCGCAATCTTCCCACACCGATCCACATTTTCGACCGCAACGGCGTGCGAACCTACCGACGCGATGTGTTCGAATTACACATTGTGTACTTCGCCACCATTATCTTATACTGCGACCTCTTCAACGACCACGACATCACCTCCGTCCCGAACATTGTATCTCTAGTCGCCTCTTCCTGCATCGCCCGCCTATACCACGAGATCGACTGCCGCGACGACCTCAACTATCTCCTCGGGATCCAAAACTGGTTCCTAACCGTCGCCGCCATGCCACAGCTCCTCTACAACGCCGCAGAATGCTCCCTCCCGGAATCCGACAGCTACTGCTCAGAGGAGCTGGACATGCTCGTGTCATCGTTGGAGCAAGTGCAAACCCGAATCCCCGGGTCCACGGTGATATTGAACGCGATCAATCGACTGCGAGCGTCGCGCACCAGCGGCCCAGTCCGGAATCCCCGAGAAAAGGTCTTCTTCAGCGAAGGATACGACCTCTTCGGCTTCCGCGACTTGTTCCCATTCCCGAATTCGCTGTCGCCGAGGCTTGCCCTGTGGGAGGTGTATGCGGGCGATATCTTCCAGGGCCTGGAAACCCCCTTGACCGCCACAGAGGACCCGGGCTGGATCTCGGGCGAGTTCGCGGATCTGTCTCGGCTGGCGTTTGCTGGCCTGCCTCAACCTTTTTCTTGAATAGTTGGCTTCTACTATTGTCGATTTCATGACGAATTGATTGCGGAGGGTCGAGCCTTGAAATATGATCGAATCGGCTTGGGGGGCTCTCGTATGGCTAGTGCTTGAGGTCGAGGTTTTCTGAGGTGGATATAACCTGTACTACAAGAAATGCTTGAGTAACTAGTGGTGCGTCCGCATATGTATTAAACAAAGTCCACGGTTCCATTTTATAGGCATTGTCTTGCAGAGTACAAAACCATTGTGTATAGTTCGTGCCGGTACAGGCGTATAGGACTCGCCAGTAGTTACTTAGGCAGCAAAATATTCTTGAGTAAATAGGCACAATCTGTTATGGGGCTCTACACGAATTAGGTGAATAACGTACTATTCTCTATGGAAAGCGTTGTGTTACTTTCAGATATCCTGCCAGGCTTTCTGTCGTGTTCGCCGGTCTAGAATGGTTCCAGTATACAAATGTAACAAAAGATAACCCTCAAATCTCCCACATATTCGCCACCATTTATTACAGGTATGTGTATGTCGATGTTTGGATCGTACAGGCACATTTAGTGGTACCACATTGCGTGTCCCATAGGCAACAGTGCTACGGCTCCTCATGGTTGGCTACCTCACGGCTACCTACATCGCCATCCCGGTGGCTCCAAGTTTAGTTTCTAGATCCGAGAATGGAGTAAGGTCAAGCCGACAAATGACAATCTGGTTGGTATCAAGCAAGATAGCGACATACGCATCATGGGAGAATCAACGGTCTTTAAAGGTACAAATGATTCCATTCTCAATCCCATCCTTCTCCGCAGAGTAAAAGAGGTCAACACAGGAACCAATGGACGTTAAAAAAAATACAGGTCCTGAAAGGAATAGAAAAAGGCAAAGTTGGGTCAAAAGGGGAATACGTCGAGAGAAACAAAATTATGGGTCACGGTCGGGGGCTCAGAATCAAAAACGTTGAAGCATCAAGGAGCAATATCAGTAAGAACGTAAATGGTATAAGGAGTGTCAACAAAGCATCACATAATGGGGATATCAGGAACACAATTCAACCCGCTTCTGTCAATTATGCTTTCAAGGCAAATGGAACCAGTAGAAACTGTACCCAAGGCAAATGATGGAGTAGATGGGGACCGGGAGAGAGGATACAGGCATACTTCGCTGTATTCTTTTCCCCCGGGAACCCTTCAGACAAGAAAGAGCATTTCACGTCAGCCATCTGGCTCGCCTAAAGGTGTTCCTTGTGGAGGTCGGTTTGTCCCACGTACAAGAATGATAGGGAGAAAGAAAATAAGAAAACAAGGAGAAAGAAGAGAAAGGGGATAATGACACGAGCTGTTTTGTCTCGCACCAGCCAAAATTCCAAACTGGCGGATGAGATAGAGCTGCCCCAGAGGGCGTGCAGTCGGCAAATGGAGAGAGAGGGCTGGTGCCCGTATGGGAGTCCACATCATGGAATGACACGTGATTCGCCTACGGCATTCAGCAGAGTCAGAGGGCCACTATCGCACTCGAGGCCCCTGGTCAAGGGGGCCCATTCTACCAGCATACTGCTTCTTAGGTGGCCCAGCACTGGGGATGGGGGTCTTCCGATTCAAGCGGCTTGTCCTCCATCGCTCATACCAGACTACCCGGCTGGCCTCGCGCAGTTCGGTACGCCAGTCGCTAAAGACGGACTCCTTGAGCCGGACGAAATCGCAGTGCTCTGCGTCATAAGGGTCCGCAAATCCCCAGGGGAATCTGCGACCGACGGGTTCTTCACCGGCCTCCAAGGAGTGGGGATCAGGGGACAAGATAGAGAAGGGCAAAATCTGAGAGGGAGCTTGTGTTCCAGACCCTTGGCTCTTTGTGGAGGGTGAGCCGGGCGCTTTCTGGTCATCCCCGGCGTTCTCAGGTGTCTCTTCCTCCTCATCAGCGCTCTCCGAAGACGTATATTCTTCCTCCTGGTCCTCCAGGGTGAGGATCTCGAGGGGGTCGATGTTGGCCTTCTTTAAGCTGTCCCAAACCGCCTTCCGCAGATACGACATATGTGCCGTGGTGATCGTGTCGGCCTTGCTGATGACGGGGACCACGGTGGTCTTGCCCAACACGGTTCGCAGTACCTGAATATCGAGGTTCTCATCTAAAACGCCAATGACTGGCGAGTCGGAAGCCTTGGGGGTCCCTTGGGCGGCTCTTTTTGCGGCCGCGATGTTCTCATCCAGGCGCACGGGGTCGAGGAGCAGGAACGTGCAGTGAATATGAGTGTCCCGCACTCCAGGCGAACGAATGACTTTCATCTCCTCACTCAAGGTCTCCTCAAATTTACTTTCCAGGAAGCCGGTCACGCCACGCAACTGGATGTCGACGATGTCTCTCTCAAATCCCTGAGAGTCCCACAGCGTTAGCCCCACGCGTTCCCCATCGATTTCCGTTTCGAGATACTCAGAGGTGTAGCCCTGGTTGGCAGGCGCATTCCGATCTTGGTATTCCATTTCCTCGGCGGGGCGAGAGGGATGCTTGTGGGCCGGCATGGCCAAAGCCTTCTTCAGGAAATTCAGAAACTCGGTTTTTCCGGAATTACGGGCGCCAATGACAAGGACGCTATGCGATCAGTTAATATGGGCTCTGGGGTGAAGGATATGAGCAGGATAGGCCTTACTTGTACGGAGTAGGATCCTTGCGCCGACGTAGCCTCCGCGGATTATTCACGGTACTCACGGCACTACTGGCGTAGCTATAACGCCCACGGTGCGTCATGCTTTCTGTCCGTGCGTACGGGTCGTAGTCGGTGCTCATCGAGTTGCGAGAGGGAGGTTGTTGTAGTTGGGGCGAGGGGTTACTGTTTGAAGGAGTGGCAGCGGTATTGGCATGGTCTCGCTCTTCACCTCCAAAACTCTCCAGAATTGGGGCGGGAGACAGGGAGGGCAGACGGGGCGGTTGCTTCAGCATGGCTCCCTGTCGACGGAGTTCCTCTTCGGTGGCTTGGAGCTTGGAATTCTTCTTGCTCTTGAGTGGCTCGATGGACTTGGGACGACGGAGGAAACCTAAAGAGGAATTGCGGCGTTGATCTTTGCTGGTCGTACCGTTCTCAAGGTCGGAGGGATCATGGTGTCCCGGGGAACGCAGGCCAGAAGTTGCAGTGGCCATTTGGTCTTATTTCTCGGGTGGCTCTTTCCAATCAGCCGATTGCTGGTAACACGGATGGGGTTTCGGAAGTACTTTGGCGCAAAAGTGGGGTAACAGTGAATGGCTTGTCTCAGATAAAAGGCGCAGGTCAGTGATTCAATTCACGCCAGTTGCTCTCGACTCTGTTCCCTAGCAACTGGGCCGCAAGTCAGCCAATGTCTTTCCACAACTCATTCATCAGATTGTAAAGGAACATCCGAGAGCATACGAACAGGCCCTCTTTAGTCCTGCTCCTCAAAATATGATCAACAAGCTAAACAATAAGCACTTACAGATCCTGGAACGGTCAGCTGTCGCGAGCCGCACTCAAATCAATCTAGCTAAGTATATGAATGGAGCCTTTCTCCTAGTGATATAGTCCTTCGAATGACGCGATGGAGCTCTTGGAATTCGAGTTAGGGCGCAATAATCACCAATGATTCAGCGGCAAACTCAAAATCGATATATCCGAATACGTCAGATTGGGATTGGCGACTGATCAACATCCACAAGCCCAGCAGGTGTCTGTTGAGGCAAAGCCTGATGTCTCTGCTAGAGGACGATAAAAGATACGCTATCGAAGCGATTGTTGGGGGTGAAGCTACAGCTCAGACGAACCACAGCTGTTCCTTTTTTTTTATTTTTTTTTAATCTTATTTTTCTGGACTTCGGTCTTAGCTCGAAGGGGAAAAAAATAAAACGAATGTTGTGAAGAAGCCTGCTCACAGCGTCCGGCTCAAGCGGCGCATTAACATGAAACGCAAAGAAAAGGGGAACGGAAATTGAGGAGAGTGAAGAGAAACAGTGGAAGGGACGAAGCGAAATGAGAGAGCGTTGGACGACTGATAATGATCGGCCTGAGAACGGATATTAGAAGGACAATGCTTTTCCTCTCTCCGATCTGCCAATACTATCTGGGGGGCCGCTTTTGCTTCGCTCTGCGAGCACACGTATTCAGGTCCAGGTTGCCTGGTGATTGTCCAGCTCGTCGGAACGTCAGAGATCACCGATACTGGAGGTCTTCCTCTTCGTCTGTTTGCTTTCTTCTTCTTTTTTTTTTATCTTCCCCTCGTGGACGGGGACCTATTTTTCAGTATGGCGGAGAAGCGATTCAGGGGCAACGCAAAAGCAAAGCTGCAGGCTTTCCAGAATTCCCCCACTGCTCTTAGCGCCCTTTAGGTTAGGTTGGGCGCCGAGCAATGCTTCTGAGTGGATGGCGTCCTCGCTCTTTAGCTCTCGTGGTCGGGGGACACTAGCCGGTTTTGTGATTACAGTAAAGTTACCTGCTGAGATGTACCCTCCGGGGTCCAGAAGAGCTCTGCGTTGCAAAAGGGGGCCTGTTGTTCCTGGATCCGGGATGATAGATATCCTTGGGAATCCTGGATGCAAACACTGTTGAAGCGAACCAGCCCATTCATACCACGGTCGATCCTCGTTCAATTCGTTTCCTCGTGGGATCTCTTGTGGCATACTAACCGATTGTCTGAGTAAACAAGCGATGGGTAGATCCAGTAAGTACCTCAGACCCATGGAAAGATCAATACCGCATATATGGTACGATACGGAATTACGTAAGGCCCACATCTCAGCCGTCTTTTCAGACTAAAGCAGTGAAGCACACCCTTTTTTCCGGATCAATTGATGATCAATGTCCACACGTGGGTATGTGACATCCCTCAACTCATTAAACGTGAGTTATGCTGCAGATGCCATGCATCTCCGCCCGCCTTGCGGGTGATGAATCAGAACTGCTCCATTTTTAGCTATGCAAAGTGCTGGAAATCACAATTCAACCCATCCGAATCCCTGGACCTGTATACCAGAACAACAACATGGACATCGTGTCCACCTGCAGGTATCAGTACACGAGGGTATCAATACCGTCAGAACCGAAATTGGCGGGCCGCCAACCACGTTTAATTGGCTCCAGTTCGGAGTTTTTTCCCAAACCCGCATTGTGAGCTGTTCCAAACTACAAAAAAGTTACGACACACTCGTACGTGAAGCTGCCAATTACGCTTTAGAGTTCCATGTCCCTCGTGATGCAATTTCCCTACAAGGTTTCGGTCCCTACGGCCTTAGAGTCTTAGACTTTACCCCTGTCAATGAACCATAGATACCCATCCCAATGGTGATGGTGACGGCCGAACATGCGCCCAGATGGAAGACGGAGGTCCCAGTCTGTTCCTCCCGTCCACGGCCCGATAGTCTAATTCGTCCAAAATATCTGCAATGTCCTGAATGGTGTGGATCTGGAACTCATGAGAACTACACTCACCGACAACCCAAACTTACCAAGCAAGGCAAAGCGGGGATCTGAAACAACAACCGACATTGGTTGCCATCCTTTCTCTTGCCTTGTCAAACTGGGAGTCCTTAAAAGTCAATCAGAACAGATGTTCCGCAGTTAGGGCATAAGTTTATGCTGTCTCGTCCAGTTCCCGAATCGATACTTCCGCGATGGAAACCACGTCCGCTCGGAGAGGATATACCAGGAGAGAGCTATTCTACGTGCAAATGGGGCATTTGCATCGATTGATTTTGACAGTCTTCAGTGGTGCCAGGGACAAGGATAAGCAGACGGCGCCACAGTGGCATTCGGGGTTGTATATTTCCATAGCGGACTCTTTGTTAGGTTGTAAAGCCTAGTTCAGGTAAGATGAAGCCAATAGGGCAATGAATGAGGCTCTCTACGATAGATGAAGGTTATCAGCTTGTTCAATTTCCAAAGGGCTATGCCAAGACGTCCGTTCAATGGCAGAATCCTGCTGACCAGGCTTATTCTGGGCCCCTCGGTTGCATGAGTATTTCTGATGGCCATGATCACAAAGCTACCGGCCAGGAGACAGGTCGCGGGATAGTCAACGGTGACTAAACATAATTCCTATGGCTTTAATTGGGGGGTGTCACTTTTATGTATCAGATTGCGGTTCATTTGGACGGAGGTCTCTTCTAAGGTGACATGATAATACTCCATACCCCAAATACAGTCTAGCGAACGCCTGAGGCGACTGTGGGTGGAAGATATGACACTATTCCCGGAAGGGCTAGAGACTTGGAATCTTAGTTGCAGCGCTAACCATTAGTGATCCTTTATTAATTAAGGAACATCGATGGTTCATTGTGTGGCCGGCATTTAATTACGATCGCAAATTGTCGCGTCGATCCCCATCATATGTGACACAATTGAAATTGGTCCGTTTGGCTGCTGCAAATGAAACGACCGCATGCGACAGAACAAGTTCAACACATCCATTCAGGGGCCCAATCCCCGAGATTAGGTCCCCACAGCCAGCCTATCTATGCACAATGACCGTTGTAAAGGCAGTCGATCGGTCCAGACTAACTTGACTCCGTTCGTTGTCGATGCTCTTCCAGGGTCTGGTTCTCCCAGATCCGGAAAGGAAGAACGACACATGGGCTACTCGGGCACACTTTGTCCCTCACCAGCTTCTTGAATTTCGGTCCATTCGGCCCCGCAACGTACTTTTTCTGTCCGAACAGTTCCGGTCCTCCCGGCAGTGCATCGTCTCCCCACTGGCCGTTGAAATTCAACCAGTTGACCGGATACCCAGAGTCATACGCCTGGAATGTTCCCTCGGAAGCATCATAATTGTATACATAGGCACTCAAAATCGGGTCCCACAACGTACCCGAATCAGTTTGGTCCACGATCAGTCCATCAGGGAGATTGAACCCAGGAATAGTGTGATCGTGTTTCCTGAGGCAAGCTTAGCGTCGCATTATCTAGGGCCGAAAGGACGCGTGGGAGTACATACCCAGAAATGGCATAATTAGCATGGGTGCCGTTCCCTGAATATGCAATCGGTCGCTTGCCGTTTTTCTCCGTTGCTCCATACGTAAATGCCTGCCCCGAGGCATGCTGGCTGTACCAGATTGCTTGTGGGACACCCTCGGAGAACCGTATCATGTTATGCTCCCTATTGAGGTTATATCAGTTTCTGAGGTCGATTACTACTTGACCTTGGGACTGACCAGTCTCCGATATGGTCCCCAAACTCCATTCCTAAAACTGTGTTTCCTTGGTTATACCTATACGTCTGGTAAGCGAAATCTGAATGACAACTGACATGCGGATATCGCTCACGCATAGAAATAGAAATAAAAAGCGTCCAGGATCCCATCTCCGTGGTCACGAAGAATGATGGTTGAAGAGATCGCATCCTGCGTTCGACCGTCTTGGTCAGGTTTGATACCACCAAGCCATGCAGGCTGGGGGTCAGCATCTATCCCTTCCTTTGAAGTTAGATAAACGCTTGTGTTGCCAAGGTTGTTGAGCTGGTCAAGATTATCGAGAGTTGTCGCCGACGGGACCTTCTGGATAGGCTTCCAATCTACCATCGGCGTAGTGTGTACAAGCTGCTCCCCGATGTCAGAGGGCATGTATGCCTCCTCACTATGTAACCAGACCATCGGTGCTGACGGCTTGTTAGAAAATGGTGTGTACGAGGCATTGCATGACTCACCATATTCCAATACATAATTCGGCACTGTTGTTGCAGTCACATCTCGTCGAGAGACATGGAACGCTGCCTCTACGGGATGAGGAGGTATCGCACCCAGGATGGGTATTTGAAGAGAGGAAATCCACGAGGGAGCTGGGTTCCACATCTTGACTCCAGTGGTATGAGGTGAGAGTTGGTCGCTAAGGTGGGCGTGCCTTGGGCTAATCAAACATTTCCAGGTCGTCTTTGGGACGCATCGCTCTTTCCGTCAGCAACATCGTGCCTCCCGAGTTTAAAAGTTTTGAACCTCCCCTCAGATTCGGTCACGGGAGACGGGGTTCAGTAATCCGTCATAGGAATTGAAGTGGGAAAGTAACGCAGACTGCATACCGCAGCTGACCCTCCGATTACCTGCAGCATCCCGGGGCATTGCATCCGGTTGATTCGCCCATGTCTCATCAATCGGCTAACTGACAGGTACCAGAGCCAATGCCTTCTGGCTGTAGGGTCACGCACGGCCCAGAGTTCGGATCGGGTCTTATCTTTTTATCGGGATCTTCATCTCTCTGCAGTCTGATTTTCGGAGACACTCTCAGCCCTCCACGACTAGCCAAAGTTATTTCTGCATTAGACAAAATAAGCATGTCCAATGAATAATATCCGAGGTCCAACGTGGCTTGTGACCAACAGGTCACGTTGGGCATCCCGTGATATCATCGGGAATCCCGCCATCCCTACAGTGATCACCCGCTTATCCCAAAGTATGCCTACTGACATCAGGTATATCATCCGTAGAATCCTCTACAACAGCACCCCACCAGACATTCTGGTCAACTGCGCAAATTTGGTAATACAGTCCATGCTCATATTATATATAGAAGTCCAAAGTTTCCTTAGCAATACACTTACTCCCTCCCCAGTCAAATAACAGATAAATAGGCCCTTCTAACAAGCACTGCAAATCACTCTAATTCTGGCTATTCTTCTTTTTAAAAAGGCTCAAATCCAACGGAATCTTATCCCCCAACCACGTCGCCCGCTGCGTATGATTCCGCTCGTCCTCCTCCTCAGTTGTATTCGGATGAAGCAGCGCACTCAACGGCCCCCGATTGATAACAAGCCAGGGAATGAACGCCCCAAACTGCGCCGGGGTGAACAGGTTAACTTCAAACATGGCAATGGGATGAGGTCCAAGTGGCCCTTCCCAGAATCGATAAATGCGTAGCTCGGGGACTATTGATCATAGCCGTCAGTATCTGCCTCTCTTCTATGACAGCACAGGAAAACAAAAGAAAAAGGGGTGGTAGGTTATACATTCACGACGGACTCGCTCGTACAGAGCCCTTGCGTAAGCGACTTGAGCTGGATTATTCTGTTTGGTTATGGCCATGTCAGTACTGACCACTCACTTGGTTTTATGCTATATGGACACGTGAATGGATAGCAACGAACCTGGAAATGGTAGATATGGACATCGAATCCCCCCTGTCGATCTTTTGCCAGCGGATCGGGGAATTCTTCATATGCTTTGCTTAGGATACCGTGCTGGGGGTTCTTGATGGATTTGCCATCTTCGTTCAATTCCCTAGAAGTCCATGGTTAGTCTCATCGTAGAGTATCCCAGGTGATCTTACACAAGACAATAGCGATATACTATACATACACAGGCAGCGGTTCCAAGCCCTCATACCCCGCCAAAGGCGAAGGATAATCATAAGCGAACGGATCAGTCATTATGTTGTTGTTGTTGTTGTTGTTCCTGGTTGTAGAAAGGACGACGCGAGAGGCAAAAAGTAGCGACTAAAGAGGGGGACGTAGATAATAGATATAGATGGCGGGGAAGGATTCGAAGGAAGATAATAACCGTCCGCTATACAGGGTTTATCGGGAGATGTGGTCGCGGATAGATTATAAGGTAGTATGTATTTAGTAATAGATCTATTTGAAGTAGGTAATTTATTTCTCAGGGCTGTTACTGCTGATATATTCGAATGATGTGATTATGTGGATTTCTTGTGACAATTAGAAATGGGTGGATGGGTTCGTTCCGCACTCGGACAAAATCGCGGAATAGACGGTTTCTTGGCACAGGTACCGTGTCGATGGATCTGGGATCTGATAAGATCTAGACCCTTTTTTCACCATTTTTCGGTCGTTTGTTGGCCTATTTTAGGTTGTTGGGTCTTTTTGTGGTTGTTAATTTAACTTTTAGGTTTGTCGATTATTGTGGTTGGTGTTCGTTTAGTTGGTCTGTTATGGGGTCTTGTTATATATTTGGTGTATGCTAAGAGACTAGAGGGATTAAAGTTAAGGTACAGGGTTCATGCTCTTCATCTCATCGTAATTCATGATAGGATACTGGATGTATAGAAGTATTTACTAAACAAATAATAGAGCCCGAAGTGGTAATTATCCCAGCCCCCAAACGCCAAACCCAGTTTACACTCATGGATCTCACTACCAAGAAGCCTTAACATCAATATGCCCATCCTCGTTGACATACTTTCCGCGATCCCATTCTCGACCTTCGCCTTTCTTGGACCACTTCACGTCCTCTAACCTTCCCTCAGAATCCCCGGCGGTAGATGTAGTGTTGCTTTTCCACTGCTTCACAAAAGCATCGTCGAAACCAGCTTCTCGCAGTCTCTCCTCGCCTCTTTGCTTCCAACGGGCTCGGTCACGGACTGCTTCGAGGGCGAGTTCCCAATCATCGTCTCCGGTCATGAGGCCGGCTACCGGGCGGCGGCTGGGCTTGCTACCCGCAATCTCATCGTCATCTTCTAGCTGTACATCCAAAGTAGGATCGTAGTCTGGGGCGAAATGCGCGTCAATGTTGCTCATATTAGGCCTGTAGGCACCCCGTCCTCGAGAACGAACCGGCGCAGCATCAGTAGAGTGATTTGCCTGGGGAGGTAGGGGCCCAACAAGATCCTCAAGAGGGTCCGATTCATATCCTGGCTGTTGATCTTGGGCAGCCACCGGGCACGAGGGCGATGCCGCCTTGGTTTTGCTTGTAGAGCTCATCTCTGGGGAACCTTGCTCGCGAGAATTGCGTACACGTGTATGCTCACGATCTATGTGTCTGCGCCGACTGTTCACTTCAACTGATCGAGAACGAGACCTTGAAGGTGACCTAGAGCGCCTCCTTTGTCGATGATGGCGACTGCGAGACTTCGTTTCTCGATCTTCTCGCGGAGATCGACTGCGCGACCTGGAATAGGACCGATGCCGACGACTTCTTCGAGAAGATCTGTGTCGATCTTCATCCTCGCCGTAGGAATCACGCCTCCGCCGGTGTCGATGGGAGCGATCTCTGTCCGCCGAAGCCGAACGGCTTCTATGTCTTCTTCGATAGGAGCTATGCCTATCTTCACGGTCTTCCCTTCTGTCCCTGTGCGACTTGCGATCGTCTGGTCGCGGTTGGCGGCTATGGGAGTCTTTTCTAGAATCGTTTGATGAAGAGGTAGGTTGGTTCCGTAGCTGCCGCATTCGCTCTCTAGCTTCCCTCTCTTCCTTTCGCTTTAATGCGGAATTGTGATTGTCTGTCTCTTTTATAATGTGTCGCAGGAATCGCGTATTCGGTTTAGGAGCAGCACCTGTAGGTCTGCGATAGCTACGTCAGCTTTGGTGGATTTGAGAATGCGGAGGTGGCCACTAACCTCTTCGGCATATAAGCCCCCATTCCCAGGGCAGAGTACTTCAGAGAACTGTCGCGCGCTTCATTTGTGAGAACTTGCGCAACGTAATCATCATCATCAAGGTTGCCATTCCCTCTCCCAGTGTTGGGGGGCATCGTAGCACCGAGTAAAGTAGTGTGTACACTGGAGTTAGACCGTCGATCTGGCGTAGACAGGGATATCTATTGTATAGTAGTAAATTGATAGAGACCGGTAGCGCTGTATCACTGTACAATCCAATTAAAGCATGAAAGGAGCACACCGTCTGTTTCACCGACTAAAGATCGGCGATGCCAGGGAAATGGCGAATTAGTCCGTCATACTTGCCGGCTTTTGGCTGGAGGAACCCTCACCGCCTGTAGGGAAGATCGGCGGTCTCACTAAATTTGTTTATCTCCGCATATTCTGCCGACGCGCTACAATAATCAGCGCATTGAGGGGCTTATCGTTGACGTTCACTTCGATACAGTTCGGATATACCAGTCAATCGATTTATACCTTGCCACTGTCACAACAAACTACCAGACAGGCGTCGCATGCAAATTAATGTCGGATATTAACCCCGCGGAAACGCTGGAACAGCTCCAGCAGCTGCAGAAAGAGAGCGGAGATCTAAAATCGCAGCTCGCGATTCTTCGTATCAGCGAACCGATCTTCTCGCCTGATGCCGAGAATCAGAGTCAATCTTTGTCCAAACGCACTTCGGACGCTTCAGCGATCGATAATCCCACGCCGGCCTCACTCGAGGCCGACCTAACACACTACAAGGTGCGGGTGTTGTTTGCTTGCAATAGATAGGCATACTAATGTTTGCGGTGAAGGAACTCTTCTCAAAATTACGCTTTTCATATGTCGAACAAGTGACGAAGGAAAAGTTTCTGCGTGCCATTGTCGGCGATCCTCCCTTGGTGGTCGGCCATAATGAGAACGTGGAACTCGAAACGCAATTAGCGGAGGTGAAGGCGGAGCTTAAGGCAAGCAAAGAGGAGGTCCGCATGATGATTGAAGAAATGGAGAAGACAGGTCGAGACCTCGCCCATCGTAAGTCTTTCACGCGTCTCTTGTGCTGCTCCCTTTGATACTTTTCCATTCCAGCCATCGAGAATACAACGTAGAAGCAAGATACACTGACGACTATGTCATAACAACAGGATACAACAATGTCGAATTGCAGATGACGCAGCTATCTACTTTGCCCGAGTCCATCGAGAATCTAGAGTCTACAATTGCCGAACTGCGTGCCAAACAGGCATCCGATGCAGACGCTTCATCCTCCCAGAATCTTCCGCTTCCTGCAACTCTGTCGCTGGTGGCTGAGCGAGAGGCAGAACTTGCTGCGCTTAACCGACAGCTTGCCGCAGTACAGAATGCTTTACCTCGCAAGACACGAGAGGCGGAAGCAATGGAGCGAGAGCTAGGTGTCCTGGAACGACGGAAGTCGGAGGCTATCACCCAGGCTAAGGAGGCGGAGAGGAAGAAGCAAGAGGGAGAAAGCGATGGACTAGAGGAGACAGGAAGATGGTACAGAAGTGCAGAAGAAGCACTCAAACACCTAGTCGGCGTTGAAGGATGATATCAACTTTGGCCAGATTTTGGATGACTATGATATGATGGGAATAGGCGTTACGGGAATTGTGGGTTCAAAATACTAGCGTACAATAATCTACGACTACAAAATTATGCAGGAAAGTTCAAGATTCGGGTTTCGAATTGAGCCTGAAGGCTATCATTTTATTCATTGAATGGTATGATCGTACAACATCGTACGCTATGCTGCAGTCACAACTAAGGCCCCACATTTTTATGTTCCAAAACGAAACCCGTCCATACTCCGGTTTAAATGATTTACTCATCATCCTCCTCAGCGGCATCGTCACCGCCCTCGTTGGCAGCAGCGGCCTTCTTGCGCTGGACACGACCAGGGCGACCACCACCGTAGGGGGAGGTGAGAGCGAAGTCGATGTGCTTCTGGGAGTCAAGACGGACCATGAAGGAGGGAACGTTGACGATCTGCTTGCCGACGCGGATGTGGCGCTGCTTGATGAGGACACGGGCGTGGTGGATGGACTTGGCAAGGCCAAGCTTGTAGACACAGGTCTGGAGACGACGCTCCAAGAAGTCCTCGACACGGAGGGCCAGGACGTAATCGAGCTTCATGCGGGACTCATCGAGCACACCGATACGGACCAGACGGCGAATCAAAGCGTTACCTTCGAAAAGACGCTTGGGGTCCTTCTCGTCGAGGGTGAGCAGCTCACTAAATTTGCAGTCAGATTCATGTCTGGACAAGCCCCATCATGACGCCTGGGGTATCGCAGGGGGGGGACCAAGGGCGCATACCGAGCAGCACGACGAATCTTGGACAGGGTGAGCTGGACACGCCACACCTCACGCTTGTTGCGCAGGCCGTACTCGCCGACAATCTTCAGTTCCGAGTCACTAGTGAAAACAAGTTAGGAACGTGAACACACGACATAAACAGAAGCACGCTTCTGATCAGTGGCCGGAGAGTACTAACAGACGAGCCGACTCGAAAGCTGCAGAGACATTAGCATATGAACAGACCTCTGACAAGATATCAAATTTCAAATCGCCCAGGTTACTTACGACGACGAGGGACCTTGTAGGTCTTGGAGTAGACGCGACTGCGATTCCAAAATGATTAGAATGATGTGACTCAGCATTCATCATCATGAAGCCATATACTCACGGAACGGGGGCCATTGCTGCTTAGTTGCGCGTTGTCGCGGAGTTGTCGATACACCAAACTACACGAAAATCGTAGAGCTTCGAAGATGAAGTTGCATTTTAGAGGATAAGCGAGGGTGGATCGTGGTGGAGCCGAAACCGGCTTAGTGCCAGAGGGCTTCTGCCCCTAGGCCCTAATGGCCCTAACTAAGACTAGTGCTGCCACCCTCAACGGGAAGAGGCTTCAGGGCCTAGGGCTAGAGCCCTAAGAAGCGGGACGGCGCACTAAGCATCCGAAGAAGTTCTACACCATCGGGAAGGGCGGCAGAGTGAAGCACTTCGTTGTCGACAAGTTCCCAATTCCAGCACCACCAACACCGCCGACATGGGTCACTCTCACGGTTTGAGATCCGGCACTCGGGTATGTTTGCGAATGATGAAATCAACGATATTGTGTCGCTCGATGGGAAAGGGTGTGCTGACGACAATTTGATATGATAGTATGCCTTCAGCCGTAACTTCAAGGAGCACGGCCAGATCCGCCTGTCGACCTACCTGAAGACCTACCGGTACGCCGAAATCTATCGCGAGGATTGGAAGTGATTGTGTATAATGTGCAGGATCTGATATGTTTATAGGGTTGGCGACATCGTGGACATCAAGGTCAATGGTGCCGTTCAGAAGGGGTCAGTTCATTCCGCCCATTAAAAAAAAGCAACAAGTCCGCGTTGAAACGGATTTGGGATTTGCCTTTGAAATTGTGTGGGATCGTTTGCTGAGACTGGAATAGTATGCCCTACAAGGTCTACAACGGTAAGACCGGTGTTGTCTACAACGTCACCAAGTCCTCCGTCGGTGTCCTCCTCTACAAGGTTGTCCGCAACCGTTACCTCGAGAAGCGCGTCAACATCCGCATCGAGCACGTCAAGCACTCCCGCTCCCGTGAGGACTTCATCAAGCGTGTCAAGGAGAACGCCGAGAAGAAGAAGCAGGCCAAGGAGCAGGGTGTCCACCTCCACCTTAAGCGCCAGCCCGTCGGTCCCCGTGAGGCTCACGTCGTCGAGGCCGCCGCTCCCGAGACCATCACTCCTATCCCCTACGACACCCACATCTAAACGAATAGAATGGTCAGGTCGATGCGGTTGTTTGGTGTTTCTGGGTTTTGCCATCTAAAGGTGGATTTTGCATTGAGACGAAGCGAAAAAGGGTACTCGCATGTACTAGCACAATTCAGCCTGTGCATAGATTCCCCTGAATGAAACAAAAACAAAATTTCGATTCCCTGTTCAGCAATCTCAGCTGAGGCATTCGCCTGTCTTTGGCTTTCTCCGCGCGGCTCCGGAACCTTAGATTTGACAAGTATTGGACGCCTTGCGCCCGCCATGTCTTCACATGCTGATATCTTGCCTTGTACGTGGGAATCTGATCTGGGATGTGGTGGTGTTCCACGAGCTAGGCTTGTAGTCAGGGCACTTACGACACCAAATAGCGCTATTTCAATCACAATACATCTGCCTGGCATGCCAAGTTCAACCAATCTCTTGTGATTTGAAGACCAGTCTTGCTATCAATTCTTCGGCGAATGACCACAGCTTTCACCCAAACGTATGCGCAAAGTAGCACGTCCAGTCTGGTTATCTCCAATTTACCACCTAGACTGTATCACGTATTCTACATCTCTTCTGCTCTGTTACAGGCAATAGCCTTTAGATATGTGGCGCAGCTAGTACTATTACCAGTAGCGTAGAGATTTCCATTCGGCGGGCGCCCAGACATCCGCCCGAACTCCGCCAATGGCAAAAAAACAAAAGAAAAAAAAAATGGTTAAAAAAAAAGGAATCGCGGTCAATCGAGTACCTAGGTAGTAACCTCTACCTATTGACAATTGTTTCAGCTTCGCAACTTCATTCTCTTCTCGTTCCTAGATACATTCACCACAAATGTTTTAATTTTTGTTATCTTGTACATTATACTTCTTGATCTACGCTTCTGATATGCCATTCTCCACTACTCCCCATACCAACTCTGCGCAGGCGCATCTGGCAGTTGATGACACCCAGAAGAACATCGGCAAGGATATAATCATCCAATCCAGGGAAACTGGCGATGTTGTCCCACAGCCCCCACATCCCTCTACTGGGACTACCGACAAAAAAGACCAGGCAAAACCTTTTGCCCACTTTGTCGCTGGTGGGTAAGCATGCACTCCTCTACAGCGAGACTCCGCCCTTCCATACAACTCTGGGTAGCATGGGTTGACATCTCTTTTCTCATAGACTCGGTGGCATGACCGCGGCGACCCTTACCTCTCCTCTTGATGTCTTGAAAACCCGCTTGCAATCCGACTTTTACCAAGCGCAGCTGCGATCGCTCCGCGCCGCTCATCCCTTGCCGCCATCTTCGTCGCTTTCATCCCTTCCTCGGAGTGCTCTGATGCACTTTAACGAAACGTTCCAAATTCTGCGCTCGATCCACGTGCATGAAGGTTGGCGTGCTCTGTTCAAGGGTCTGGGACCCAATCTGATCGGAGTGGTGCCTGCTCGCGCCATCAACTTCTATGTATACGGGAACGGGAAACGGATCCTGAGTGATCACTTCAACTATACAAACTCCCAAGAAACACCGGTCGGAATCCATCTGACCGCCGCGGCCGTCGCCGGGATTGCCACGGGAACCGCCACCAACCCGATCTGGCTTGTGAAGACGCGTCTACAGTTAGATAAATCCAACGCTGAACACCACAGTGGCCAGGGACGGCAATATAAGAACAGCTGGGACTGTATCAAGCAGACGGTGCGCCATGAGGGCATCCGCGGCCTATATAAAGGGCTTTCGGCATCGTACCTCGGTGTGACGGAGTCGACGCTGCAATGGGTGATGTACGAGCAGATGAAGATGTTCCTCGCCCGCAGGGAGTCGGCCAAACGTGCCGATCCCAACTACACATACGGTACCTGGGACGACGTGGAACTATGGGGTGGACGGATCTGTTCGGCGGGATTGGCTAAGCTGGTCGCTGCGGCTGCCACCTACCCTCATGAGGTGGTCCGGACACGATTGCGGCAAGCGCCGACTGTGTCTATTGGCGACGGCAAGGTGGTGATGAAATACACTGGTCTTGTGCAGTGCTTCAAGACTGTCTGGAAGGAGGAGGGTATGGTTGGGTTGTATGGCGGCTTGACACCGCACTTGTTGCGTGTCGTTCCGTCCGCCGCCATCATGTTCGGAATGTAAGTTGCTCTCGACCGCACAGTTGCATGACTATGACCATCCGATCTAACTATCAACAGGTACGAGGTGATCCTCCGCCTCTTCGGAACAACCTCCTAGTCCTCCTCTCGCGCAGTTTCTAACGTACCTTTACACCACTCTTCTCCGAAGCCCTGTATATTATCTCGCTTGTCTGTTATTCTTCCGGGTTTGTTTGCCTGTTTAGAAGGGTTAAACTGCATGTTCACGGCGTACTGTTCTTTGGTTGGCTTGGCATTATCTATCTGGGCGCCGGTGTCTCGTTCATCTGTCATTCTTTCCGCTCCGCGATCTGAACTATATTAATCTCGATAAATGTATATTAGCAACAAATAGAAACGCATCATTTCCGTTGGTATATTCTAGACCGTCGTCAACTGCATTAAGTAGGGAACAACATATGGGCAATCTTGGCAAGAAGAGTAACTATCCCGAAATATATATCTGCAGCCACATAGTAGGACATCACCACCCCTAAACCCAGCATGATCAACACTACCAAAAAAAAAAAAAAAAAAAAAAAAAAAAAAAAAAAAAAAAAAAAAAAA